CTCTTTCTTCTCACTTCTTACGACCTCGGGCCCTCTCTTCTCGAGACCCCACAGTGACCTCATCCCCTCCTTTCTCACGGCCTCAACTTCGCCTACTTTCTTTCTCGTCATTCCCTGCCTTGTCACAACCTCGCTCCTTCTCCGACCAAGTACCCCCCAGATACCCGAGCTCTCATCACACCCCGGGGTACCCAAATTTCGAATACCCGACTCTCGTGAAACCGAGACCAAGATATGTCATTCAAGAAACAAGAAAACTGAGGGAACAAGGCCGAGGTCGAGTTACGCCAGAAACAAAAGGCATTCAACCCACGCCCACGCAAGGAACTTCTCGGTATAAATATATCAAAGGAGAAACTATTAACTAGAATCCCTTAAAAGCCTCTTTAAAGGCTTCAAACTTCTATAAGGAGAGTGCATCAGAGAGTTTTTATATGTTCACCGGAAGAATGTTCTGAATAACATACCCGGGAGAGAAAGAAGTTTCGAGCTTTGATTTACGCCATGTCCACGCATGTATAAACACCACTATGCCGAGCTGAAAACTTATAGGATGTTCATCTGATTTCAAAGCAGCTCGTTTCAGCAAGAGAATTTAAACGTTTTAGAGCGCCGGATTCTATAAAGATTGTCGATGTAAAGCTTAGAATCAAAGGGCAGGAAAGATAATCATACCTGATGAAAGAACGGAGTCTGGCAACCGAGACTAGCATCCCTGTGTCTGTGTACATATAACAAAATATAGAACAGAACCTCAACAAACTGAAGCAAATATTCTCAAACTTCATCACATACAATGCGGAGGTCAGACAAATCATGAAACAAACTACTAAGTTCTTACAAAACCCATGATTGAAACCAAGGAGCATTCAAATATATGCGTTTACTACATGCATCTAATCCTTTCTCTTGGGCTCAACGTTTTCAGATTACCATGAACAACCGCATTTGAGAGATGTATATAAGTATTGTAACAAGGAATTAACAAAAAGAAAAGAGCAAACACTTGCAGTAGTATCAGAGCTGAGATCAAACATCTTGTCTTGGAGCGCTTCCTATTAAACGTACTGAGAAAACAATCTTTGGTGACCCTCAAAAGAGCCTTAAAGCTCCGTCCTTTCACCCATTTCAAAGCTCAAACTCGTCATCCCTAAGTGCCAACGCAGCGGCCTCTTCTTCTTCTTCGTCGAGAGCAAAGTATTCGTTCTTCTCCTCTGGCCTAAACATATAGAACATCACCATATAGAACGCAAGACTAACTGCCTCCTCTGCAGCATAGCTCACCCATTGATACTTGTAAGCTGCAATGGTCTTAAGGGCAAACACCACAATCCTCGTGAAGTAGAGATACCCGATCACAACGATATAGAATTGCCTGAACAAAGTTAGCTTAGCTAAGTTCTTGGCGGCTTTACCATCAGTTTTGGATGTCTCCCTCAAGGATCTGATCGACCAAACGATGGGGAAGATAATGGCGCAGCAACAGATTATGTCGACGAGCAAGAACACTTGGTTCCATGTGACCCAGTCCTTGATAAATGGTCCGGTTTCTCCAATCACAATCGAAGCAATGTTGGCTAGAACCTGAAGTGGGATCACGATTATCAACACATTCTTCTCCTTTTCCTGCAAGAATGGCTTCAAAAACGACCAACCGGTTCCGATCAAGATGATCACGGTGAAGAGCAGAACCACACGAATGAACTGGAAGATGTAGAACAAGATATCCCATCCATGTGGAGTTCCCGTGCTCTTGACGTAGTGCTTGTCCTCAGCCGCACAGATCAGATTCAGCGATTTGATCAGAAGAAGACCAGCCATGAGAAGATGGATCCGGTGAACCACACGCTTGTTGGTCCAACAAGAATAGCTCCAGAAACCTACGAAGGCGGTGTAGCATAGGAAGAAGAGGAAATACAGAGACGGCAACTGGGTCAACCCTGCGGGCAAGTAATCCTTAGATCCGTTCGGATCCTTGTTGTACATCTCGGTCCGAACCGCCATGGAAACCTTGGTCTCCGGAGCGCAATTCGCGAAGAACAGAGAGTACTCGTTCGGCGAGGTGACTGGGTAAGACTGGTTGAAGCCCGAATTCGGCGGCGGTGAGAGATCTCTGAAGTTGAAGAGATAGAGCACGTAGTGCGAATCGAGGACGCAGAATCTAGGGTTCTGCTGGATCTCAAGGAGGACCTGGAGCAGCGCCTCCTCGGAGAGGAGGAAGAACCCTAGACGAGACGGATCCGGGTTCGGGTCGGCGGGAGATGATACGACGGACACGGAGGAGACGGTGACGGTGACGTGGCCCGTGTGCGTGAATCCGAACTTCTCGAAGAGGATCATCGGACGGGCGTCGTCGGAGATGACAAGGGCCTTGATCTCCGCCGCGCACGGAGGAACGCCGGCGAGGAATGCGGCGGTGAGGAGGAAGAGGAGGAGAACGCCGGAGAAGGGTATTTTCACCATTTTAGGTCGTCGGAGATTTGACGGGACAGATCCACGAAGCAATTAATGGGTGCAGAGACGAAGAGAGATCTGAATACACTTTAATCAGATCTGGGAGTGAGCTTTTAATTACGACGTCGTTTCGAGGATTCATTCGTAAAATACAGGCGGATTTAGGGCGGGGTTAATTAATACATTTATTTTTATATCCACATTCACTTAATTCTCTCAGTACACTGATATATTCTAATATTTGTGTTTTGGCCCCAATTGTTGGCCTTATTGTTGTAAGTTCCCCATTTCTTTTTATTGTTACTTTTTTCCCCGTAAGCGTTGTCTAAGATCCTTTGCTTGAATCCTTAATAAGCTCTTTAACTGTATTTTTTTTTACATGTTTTGATTAATTTCCGCATGATTAGTGTTTAAGTCAAAGTATTTATTTTCATGATTTGGAATTTGTGACGCGACTTTTCGCTATTGATATCTAATATCTTATATACGTGATTGGGGTTCGTTTATGTACGTTTTATAAAAAAAAATAAGTATTTGGTTTTATAGTTAATCTGGTTTGGTTCGGTGTTCGATTTCTTTTTTTTTTTTAATAAAAATATTCATTAAACTTTAGTTTTTAATTATTATTTAATTCGATTTGGGTAAATTTTTTATTTAGAGAAATTATAATATTATTTTTGTTGGGAGGAACTCAATGATTGAGCAAAGAGAGAGCCCTCGCTTTTTTTACGTACTTGGGGGGTGTGTACGATTTGAGTTCCACTCCAACAAAAATAATTTTAAGAATGAAACCGAAAAGAAAATCTTACAAAATAAAATAATTGAAATATTGATGGTAAATTAATCGTAATTTTCTAAATTTAAAAAAAAAAGACAAAAACGTACACGTTTATTGATTTTCTAACCAATTTTGAAAAAAAAAATCAGAATATAGTATCGATACTGTAAAATATATCAGTCAATATCCGACAACAACATAATTTTTTTCTCTAAACTATCGGAAACATAATTATAATTTTAATTATAATTTTAATTATTTGGGTTAAATATGGGATAGGAATATCAATCGGATCGGTCCGATCCGAACCACACTTGGTTCGAGGGGTTCGAATTCGTGTTCGGGACTACAAAACCAAGTTCGAAACCCGGACTTCTAATTTTTGGCTTTGGATCGGGTTAGATCGAATTGGACCGACTCGCTAAATTCTTTTATAATTTTATTTTTTGTCTTTTTTCAATTATTTTTAAAAAAAATATTGAGTTTTCGAATCCGATCCAAATACTCAATTTTTTTTCGGACCGAAAAATTTAGACTCAAAACCCGATATTTTTTGGGTGGATTCGAACCGAGTTCCGGACCTAAATTGACACAATGGGGTTATGTATGTTGTTGTGTCTCAAAAAGAAACGAAACAGAAAGAGGGACAGAAGAAGAAAAAGGAAGAGTAAGTTTATAAGGAAAAGGTTTCTATAAAAAGCTTATCCTCTTCGCAATCATTACTCTTTTGAGGATAACACTTTGTTAAATTTAAATTAAAACTTTTTTTAAAAATTGTAAAATTAAAACTTATTAGCATGAGTTATAGATTATTTGGTTTGATTAATGTTAAATTATTTTCCAATACACCAGAAAGATGTTTCATAACGCTAATTATGTAAAAGTAATATTAGTTCATACCAGCATCTAATCATTGTATTTATTTTCCAACCGAATTTCAATTCCTATAAAATAAATAAATAAATATCGCAAGTCTTTTTCGATTATTGCTTTTTAAAACAAGTTTGCAATGTGACGACTGGTGAAATATCCATCAAATCACAATTGACTCATTATTATTATTATTGTTGTTGTTGTTGTTAAATAAAATATAAGTGGAATCCACCCGAATCTTTGACCCGAGCCTTCTATGTCTAGTGATTTATTTCTAAATCTTGTTTAATTCGTTAAATTTAAGATTTACTAAAAAAACTAAAAACAATAAAATAATAAAAATGATTACAAAAACTGCATCACAACAAAATGATGAAAACTTATGTCATAAACAAAAAATGACAAAATAATAATAAAAATAATATTTTTTATACGAATTTAACCAAATATGATGTATTTTTAATTTGGCAAAAAAATTATACTTAAATTCAAAAATTTTCAAATACCTATAAAAATTGTTAAAATTAACAATAATTATATATATAATTATTATTTTTATTAAAATTTTTGGGATTGGATTAACTAATACACTAGTTAACTACTATACACGTCAGCGTATTAGTTAATAGAATCTAAAAAAAGTTATCGAAAATGATGATTATATATATATAATTACTATTAATTTTAATGAATCATGTAGATATCAAGAAATTTTGAATTAGAATAAATTTTTTTATCATTTAAAAATATGTATATTAAAATATCATATTTGACTAAATTCATGTTGAAAAATGCCATTTTCTCGTATAATAACAAGAACAAATATATATATATATATATGTTTTGCAATAAAGCATATTTTTCAATTTATTTTATACTCAATTAAATTTTGTTAGTTTAAGTTTTAAAACATTATATTCAATTAGATTGAAGCTGACATCACATTAAATTCAAAATTATCCAAAGGTCCATCACATGATACGTGTCAAAAATCTTCATCCAGAGACGCCACGGAACAACCTGTTAAATGCAACTCCCTCAATTTTATGTTTCTTTCATTTTTGTCCCACTTCTTTCGATTTACCACTCAATTCATTTCTTTCAAACTGATTTCAAGTCATATGAAAATCTGATAATTTTTTTTGGTTAACTAGAAAATCTGATAATTGCGTAACAGAAAGGACTGCAATCATAGTGTGTGTGTGTAAGCAATGTGTAGAAATATTTAAAATATAAAAGCAATGGAAAACTTTAGGATAGTGATATTAAATAAATCGAAGGCCGAAGGAAAATCTTTTTAAAATATTACACAATTGGGCCCGGGTCGGACATTTTCCTTTTCAAAACCAGAATAATTATTTAATTGTTCATGCAAATCGAAGAAGGCAGTGCTATTATCCATTAAATAAAAAAAAATGAATTAATTAATTAATGGGGGCCGAGAGGAAAGGGAAACAGGCTCACTTTAAAAGACGCTCTTTGCCTCCCCCCAAACCAACCCCATGAGCTCTTCTCAGTCCCCAAAACTCACATCTAACCACAGAGATTCAGAGATATACACACATATACATACACACACATAAGATATATATATACAGATACAGTCACTTGCATATATATATATATATGGGTTTGCATGAGATGGAAACGACAAAACTCTTTCCCTCCCCCCAAACCAACCCCATGAGCTCTTCGCAGTCCCCAAAACTCACATCTAACCACAGAGATTCAGAGATATACACACATATACATACACACACATAAGATATATATATACAGATACAGTCACTTGCATATATATATATATATGGGTTTGCATGAGATGGAAACGACAAAACAAGTTGAGGCCAACAATGGAGATGATGAGTACATAGATATGGAGGTGTGTTGCTCTTCTTCTTCTTCTTCTTCTTCTTCTTCTGGGTTTATAAGCTTCGCCGTGAACTCGCCGCCGCACTGCCGAGAGTTCGAGTTCCAAATGTGCTCCTCCGCCGCGATCTCCGGCGAACCCACCACTTCGCCGGCGGACGAGCTCTTCTACAAGGGCCAACTCCTCCCTCTTCACCTCCCTCCCCGCCTCCAAATGGTCCAGAAGCTCCTCGAATCCTCCGCCACCGCCGCCGGACCTCCCTCCTCCGCCGCCGCCGGAGATGCATCTGTTTCTCCGCTAGCTGTCGTCTCACAATACGAGTCCCGGAGACTGAGCGGTAGCGAGATCTTGATAAACCCAGACGAGAATTTCTTCGAAATCTCCATGGAGCTGAAGAGTTTCGTCGCGAGCGAGAATCCAAGAAGCAGATGGAGCAGAAAGACGAAGCAATCGTCATTGACTCAGAAGCTCAAGGCCTCAACCGCCTACATCAGGAGCTTGTTCTTCTCGAGACCCGGCTGCTCCGACTCAGAAATCGATCCAAAATCGAATCTTGGAGGCTCCAAGCCCTCGAAATCGTCGAGGAAGAGAAACCCATTTGCCAAAATCGAATCTTTGGACGAATATTCCGTAAATCAGGGCTCTAACAAAAACATCGGCAATCACAGGAGATCGTTCTCGGGTGTGATTCAGAGGAAGTGTTCGTCGTCTGGCGGTTCTTCGAGTTCGTCGTTGTCGTCTTCGTTTAGCTTCCGATCGAGCGGGTCGCTGGATCTGCAGGTTCTGATGAGAAGCAGCAGCGCGAGTTCAGAGACGGATAACTCCATTGAAGGAGCGATTGCGCATTGTAAGCAGTCGTTTAGCCCAAGAAAGAGCAATGCGAGTGAAGCTGAGTTCTGTTCCTCGTGATCAAGAGATTTCCAGCATTTGAAGGATCTGCCATTTCTCTGATTCCAAAAGACAGAAGAAGAATCACAAAGAAAGGCCCTAGTGAAAAGGGGTCTTTCTTTTCTCTTCTTTTTCTGAAATGTTCTGATTTGGGGTTTCGTTTTCTTTGTTGGAGCTTAGTGGGTGATGGTAATGGTAATGTTGATTCTGCTCGCTAAGATGCACGAATTGTAGAGGTGTTTTTAATGCTTTTAGAATACAAAAACCCAAAAAAAAAAATTATAATAAAAATTTTATATTCTTAAAAATTCGAAAAAACATTTTACTAAAAAAATCAATTAAAAATTCCATTTTTTGGATTTATAAATATTAAAAGACAACAACAAAAAACTCAAAATAAAAATTATACCATTCATAGTATAAATCTCCTTAGGAAGACACTCATCTCAATCGCTAAATAGGTAGGATTAGGGAACATGTTCAATATATTAGTAAACCATCAAATATTTTTTTTTTCTAAAATGTGAAATTTCTAGACCGAAATTCACCATAAAGGCTAAATCCTAAACATGAAATAGAATATGAAAATATGTTTGAGTGTATGAAAATCGAAAAATGGGGTTTTTGAGTGCACCCACATGAGAAAGCAAACTGACTTAGTGAAAGGGGACATCACATCAAAGCAAGTGAGACCCCCCTAATAATAATAATAATAATAATTCCAAGTTGAATGTCAAACCAACAAGTCTTTTTGTAATCATAATCATATACATGCCATGCAAATTTATTAAAATAAAATGTGCACAAAAATGTAATTTTATCTAATGGCTTTTCAAAATTAATTTATCAAAGCAAAAAAAAAATAAAAAAGAGAGTGGAAAACAATGGAGTTCCTATTCCCAAAACTAACCCAACACACATGTACAATAATAATAATAATAATAATAATAATAATTATTATTATTATTATTGTTATTATTATTATTATTATTACTATTATTATTATTATTATTATTATGGAAGACCAAATCTTGTGGAAAATCCTAGGAGAAGCATGATGATTTCCACAACTGCATGAAAGTTTAGGTTAAGTCCTTAAATTGTACTTAGCTAATGATTAAAGAAAATCGTAATGATTATGACCACATGGTTTAATTAACTATGCTGCACTCGTCTCCAAAGAACGTGGAGAACTTTCTTTAAAAAACAAAATGGTCTAACGCTAAATCAATAACACGATCTCGTATCATATATATGTCGGTCCAATCTAGCTAATCGAATTTTATTATTTGATCAAACTTATAACAATGATGCAATCCATGTGTGTGTTTGTGTCTTTGATAAAAGAGCAGTATGATGCATTTCTCATGGTAGTCTAAGGTGAAGGTATAATCGTTTTAAGGTTTGAAATTATTATCTACAAATCCGTAAAGATAATAATATCCGACTGAATCGAACTGATTAAAATTAAATAATATTTTATTATAAATTCTTCAAATCCTAAATAATTAAATATGAATAAATCGATCCAACCGTTTATCCACCCATTTACCGGCGATTAATACATAATATATATGAAAAATGTATTATTTTCTGAAAATATTTTATTCTCATTAGATTATTTTTGTAGTTGGATTTGGATTCGGAAGAAAATATATACCCATCAAATACTCGGTTCATTTCGATTTTTGATATTTCATGAAGGAATCGAATCACATGAACATTTGCAATCTTTATTATTATTAATTTTTAATAATAAAATAAAATTGTAACAGTGTATTTGGAATATTTGGATTGATACAACATTGACCGTAAAATTAAAAATGAATAATATGTATTGGCTGCATCTGCATCAAAATCACATGCACACATTTAAATACATTAAAAATACATCAATCAATCAATCAAGTGTTTTTTTTTTTTGTATTATTCAGCATCATTTTATGATTTCATATATACCAACCATGAAAATGCAATCTTTGAATAATGAAATTGCACGTATTGTTCGCGCGTGTGTGTATATATATCATACTGTCCGAAAATAAAACTGTGTTCCTACAGGGAACTATTTAGATGATTCCTTTCGTATATTTTATTCTAAGTTATATAATACAAAATCACGTTGAACCAAAAAAAAAAACTATTTAGATGAACTGCACCTCGACCAAAATTCAATTTTTTATGGGTGGATGTTTCGGTATGGTTCCTCGTAACCAAATCGTACCAAACCGAAAAATACGTCAATGTATTCGAACCGAGTCGTCCAAAATTTTTAAACGATATTTTTTTAGAAACAAAATTTTCTGGAATCAAACCGAATTTTATAAAATCTTTTTTTAAAACAACAACCAAATCAAATCGAATTGAAACCGAATCCGAACCGAATATGAAATTATAACGAATTGATATATATTTTTGTAGAACTAAAAAAACGGAACTGAATTCGAAGCGAATATTGAAACGTTCATCTCTAATTCATGATTAGTCTGCTAATAAAAAGTAAGGATAAAAAAATACTTTTTTTTTATAAAAGACGTAAATTTGGGTAATGGATAATATATATATATATATATTTTTTGAATCGTTTTTCATGCGATCATCGCAAATTCTGATACGAAAACGAGTATAGTAAAAGATAGAAGAGACACGCCTAAGAATTCGGATCGAATTACCGGAAGACGCAATTCCTAGAAAAATATTAAGTTTGCAGATATATTTCATCGATTTTGATTGAAGCAAAAAAAAATATTTTTTAATTTTAAAAAATGTAATATTATAGGTTATACGTATGTTATAATTAGATGCGAACCGTCAGAAGGACAAAAGCGAGAAGCTCTGTTGTCTCCGTGTCTTGGGCCCCACACTTCGGATTTGGCCGACTAGTTTAATTACTTTTGATTAGGGCTGCTCATTTCGGAATTGGCTTCAATTATATTTGGTTATTTCGATTATAGAAAAACTATAACTATTTAGTTTTTATATAAATTTTGGTTTAGTTCGATGATTCAGTTATTTTTCGATTCGGATTCGGTTCGATTTCGGTAAAAAGTTTTATTTTTTCAAAATAAATTTCGGTTTTTTCGATTATTTTTTTTCGGTTTGGTTCGATTCTGTTTTGGTTTTTTCGGGTTTAAGAAAATCATAATCGTTCGAATTTGATATCGAATTTGGTTCGGATATGATTATATTTTATTTGATTCGATTCAATTCGATTATTCGGTTAATAACCGAAATGACCAACCCACTTTCGAAAGTTTTGGTTTTATCTCTTCAAAATCCCCATAACTCATCATCTCTCTTTCACATTACTCTTCTTTTTAATTTCTCTCTCCTTTTTTATTATTTTATTTTGAAAAATATTTTGATGCACAGATATTAAAGGATATAGTTTGAAACAATGTTTTTTTTAATTAAACAAAAACCCCAATAATTAGATCATAAAATTTGCCGTAATTTTAAATTATTTACCTCGTTGTTAGCTCTCTAGTATAGTTTATTTATGACTCATAAAAACATAGAATTCATATGAGATTTACATCTTACAAATATCAATAGGGAATATCCAAACCGTGAAATCATCATCATCATCATCATCATCATCATCATCATCATCATCATCATCATCATCATAATCTATTACGTGACTCAAACTCTGAGACAAGGTGACAAAAGTGAGAAAGGGCTTCAAGTACTTAGAATACACCAAGAAAACTTGTCTCCTCGAAACTGTGTTTTGAAGGATACATCCCTCGTCATCATCATAATCTATTACGTGACTCAAACTCTGAGACAAGGTGACAAAAGTGAGAAAGGGCTTCAAGTACTTAGAATACACCAAGAAAACTTGTCTCCTCGAAACTGTGTTTTGAAGGATACATCCAAATTTTCACTGTTCTCACAAATCTGACTCTCCGAGAATGGTTTTCTTGAAACACTTTCTATAAAAAATCTAAGGAAAAAAATAATGCAAAAGTACAACCGCACTTAATCGATCGAAACAAGATCGATGATCGGATCCCGACATTATGCAAAATCCAACCGATTCGAAAAGAACGTATCACGAGTCGGGGATAAAGCATAGAAGATGAACCTAAAGCTCGAACTCGAAGTAATCCAAGAGGATTGAGTTCTTGGTTTTACCTGTCTTGTCTTCTTCCTCAAGATGTTCCACTGCAGTGGATTGCTCGGCTTCTACTGTTTACCCATTTGCTTTTTGTCCATAGCTCAAAAAACCCAAAATCAAGAAAAGAAGCATAGAATATGGATTATTGCAAAATATATAATCCAACTTATAATAAGTAAAAAACCATATATATTTTTTTAAAAAAACAAACATTTTTATCATTAAAAACCGAATCTAAAATAAACAAAATCTAACTTAAAACCCAAATGAATATAAATTTTTTATGTCGAAAGAACCGAATTCGAATAAAATCGAACGATGAAAAACCGAAATGCCGAATCCTAACGGGAGAGTGAATTAGGGTTCAGGACTAACGGTAACGGTAAAGCCTTGTGAGCTCAATGGGCTTTTTATGGGCCGTTATTGGGTTCCTTCTATTGTCGCAATTTAATAAATGAGAGGTCGGAAACTATCGCAAATATTGCCGTATTTATTTTGCTGTGAGAAATCCAGCATGTAAATTGATCATTCAAATATAATTGACTTTCATACCAAGAAATCGACATAACTAAAGTAAATAAAAAAATAAAAAATATTATTAAAAATAAAAAAATGGTTAAGTAACGTTGGTATTTTGTAGCATGAAGGCTTCACCGCGTAACTACCATAAGCATCAATATGGGCATTTACTTCTTCTATTGTTTTGGTCGAAGGGAAACATTTCCTCTTCTTCTTCGCCTTGAACCGTGATCTGTACGGATCCAGGCTTCCCTGGAGCGACTGAGTCTCCCGTTTCCCGGCGAAGAGCTCCGACGGAGACGATGAAGCAGCTTCACAAGCAAATGAGCTCGAAGCGCGACGACGAGGCGCTTCCGACGAGCCAATCCACTCCCTACTCTCCGAAGGCGCTAAAGCATCCCAGATCTCTTCCCAGATCCATCAACTACATCTTCCGTGAGCAACGCCTTCTCTTCGTCCTTGTCGGGATCCTGATCGGATCCACCTTCTTCATCGTCCAACCTTCTCTCTCCCGTTTAGGCGCTACTGGCTCAAATTCGCTCGTCACCAGATCCATCCACGACGCCGTCGTAGATTCCTCTTCTTACAAGACGAGTTTCATACCCGGTGGAGGTAAGACGGGTAGGGTTCCTGTCGGAATTAGACGGCGGGGACTGAGGATCGTGGTCACCGGCGGAGCTGGATTTGTCGGAAGCCATCTCGTTGATAAGCTTATTGCGAGGGGAGATGAAGTGATTGTGATTGATAACTTCTTCACGGGGAGGAAGGAGAATTTGGTTCATCTGTTCTCGAACCCTAGATTTGAGCTTATCCGTCACGATGTGGTTGAGCCGATCCTCCTGGAGGTAGATCAGATCTACCACTTAGCTTGCCCAGCATCTCCTGTCCATTACAAGTACAATCCAGTGAAGACTATCATATCCTTTTCCACCAGTTACATTTTATTCATTGTTTTGTCTGGATCGTGCTTTGATTTCTAATTGCCTGTTTCGGTTTCGGATTCGCCGTCTCTGGTTCGGATTTGAATCAGTGACCATTGCTTCCTCTGCAATCAAACTGCATTATCAAATCCAGCTAAGTAATGGTTTGAATTTTTCCTGATGATCTTTCCGATTTTGTGATATTTCCTGATGAAATGCTTGCACTTGGATGATGGGTTTGTCTTTTGGAGATCCTTAATTATGGGTTTACAAGACAAATGTGATGGGCACTCTTAACATGTTGGGTCTTGCAAAGAGAGTTGGTGCCAGATTTCTGCTCACCAGCACGAGTGAAGTCTATGGAGATCCACTTGAGCATCCCCAGAAGGAGACTTATTGGGGAAATGTGAATCCCATTGGTGAGCTGGAGGAATCATCGATGAACTTACGATTCCACGAGATATCATGAGACATTGTCTTCTCCTAAATGGTTGAGATGTTTTTTAGGTGAGAGGAGTTGCTATGATGAAGGAAAGCGCACTGCTGAAACCCTCGCCATGGATTATCACCGCGGTGCAGACGTTGAGGTAACAATCTCTCATGCCACTGCATTAATCTCTTCTCGGGCATCTTCCTTGTGACAATTCTCAGAGTAAGACATAGCATTTGTCGTCTGTTGTTATTTGGTCGATTTGTCATTAATAGCCATTGTTGAGGAGCATGTTAACATTTGATAGTGGAGTTAGCTTTCAGGGCTTCTATCTCTTTGTTGAGCCTAAAATGTGAACGAAAGTTGATATATCCGAGTTTATCAGTGATAAATGTGGGAGGCCCCTCACAACTAATTCGTGTATTCAGGTCAGAATTGCTCGTATCTTCAACACATATGGACCACGGATGTGCCTGGATGATGGGCGTGTCGTTAGTAACTTTGTTGCTCAGGTAGGATCTCTGATCAAGCAAATCTTTTTGCCCATGAGTCCTCTGAAAAGAACTGTCATTAATGGAACTATGGTCTTCCTTCCTTTCTGCAGGCCATTCGCAAACAGCCCATGACTGTTTATGGTGACGGGAAGCAAACTCGAAGCTTCCAATATGTTTCCGACTTGGTAATATCCAGCCTGAACCATTGTTGTTCGATTTCTCTTAGCAATAATGCCTTTGACATAATTAATCACATCTCCTTTCTAATCCTTTTTTTGTGAATGTTAGGTGGATGGACTTGTGGCATTAATGGAAGGAGAGCATGTAGGACCTTTCAATCTGGGCAACCCGGGAGAGTTCACAATGCTTGAGCTTGCAGAGGTTTGCTTCCCATTTTTTAGTCTTTCTCCTTCTTCCCACATCAATGGAAAAAAAAGAGGGAAATAGTTCTAAATTATTTGCTCTTAACAAAAGCTCTAAAACAAATTACCTCCAAGCTCACCAATAAAAAAAGGGGGAAACTTGCGAATTTCATGGATAACTTGAACTCGGTTTTGTTCTTCCTGGAAAAAGGTTCAACACTAACTGATAGTGCAAAAAAGAAAAGAAAAAACATTAGGCTTTCATATGATAACTCTGCTTAGATATCGCTTTGCTGTATACCTGTCCAATTTTTTTCTTGTTGTTGTGAGTTGCATTGGTAGAATGTAAATTGTGGCAGGACATGCGGCTTTTTTTTCTTCTTTTGTCCTAGAGGTGGGTATGATTACCCGAAAATCGGGTATCCGCGGTACTCTCGATATCCAATTTTCGATTATCTGACCTTTCACGGGTATGGATGAGTTTTTTATTGACCATCTAACGGGAAACGTGTACGAGGAATTAAAAATCGGTTATAGACATCTGTGGGTACCCGTGTATATTTGTGAAGGACATATATACCTTTTTGCCTTCGGACACGGATCTAGATACCTTTATTTTTCGGATATGTGGACCTGTTTTTTTAAATAATTTTCTCGGATTTATTCATATCCGCGAATACCTGAAAATGTTTTGTGTTTTCGGTTAATCATACTCAGGTTGTGAAGGAAGTGATAGATACGAGTGCAAGGATAGAGTTCAGACCGAACACAGCGGACGATCCTCACAAGAGGAAGCCAGACATCAGCAAAGCGAAGGAGCTTCTGAACTGGGAGCCGAAGATCTCTTTGCGAGACGGTCTGCCTCTTATGGTCAACGATTTCCGCGACAGAATCTTGAACGGAGACCAAGGCAAAGGTCTGTGATAACTTTTAAACGCACACATTCCATTCTAATTATGTTATGTATAGTTCTCTCTTCCTCAACTTCAGGAGCTCTGCAATTCTTTTCTTTTTTTGTATTAATTGGGCTGTGAATTTTGCTAATGGGGCTATTGGTCCATAGTTTTAATGAGAGAATGCCATATTTTTTTTAATTTGATGGACCATAATTTTGATGCGCGTAACTAATACGCGCTATATCTGCGCGTGGGATCGTTGTTGTTTTGATTCCCCTTGCCATTTCCCATCATCAAGAAACGCAAAGACTCTATGAAATGGGTCGGCGTATGCCTGATGATGATGATGATGATGTTGTTGTTGATGAGCATGCGACTTGTCATTATATGTTGCATTTTAGTAATGAATTTGTAATAAATGTGACTTTCTAGACAAGTAAAGCGTTCTTTTTTTTCTCTACATAGCTACAGCATTACCTCTGCAATGAGTTCATCTGTCAGCATTTTCTCAATCTCTCTACCTATGGCTTCAATGTCATCTCCAAACCTCAGCCACTTCCACTCGTCCAGAACTTTCTCCTCTGCCTCCTCCCCGGATTTCTTCTCGTCTTTATTCACGACCAGATCATATAGAGTTTCTTGGATCCCGTTCATATCCAGACATATCCTCGATGGTTTCACCCGCTTGAATATCTGGAGTATCTCCTCGTTGATCCGGTCGAAAAGGAACTTCCTTTCTATCCTTGTCGAGGGTTTTAGGTCGGAATACTTCTTCTCAAGCTCCTCAAACAAAAATGGATTTACAGGTGAATCGGTAGAGTGCCATCTCGCCATGAAAGTATCAGGGTTTGAGTCACTGAACCTGGAGAAGGTTAGGACATCGGCCAAGTACAACGATTTCCAATCTTGGGGAGATGCCCGGTTGATCATCTTCTCGTTCGTTAGTCTGGATGAGGATGATTCCTCGTGATCTGCATCTTCGTCGCTTGATACAAGCATGGCTCCTGACTCTAGCTTCAGTAGTTGGAGTTGCATCCTCAGCCCTGGAATTTCGACCGAGACCCGTTAATGTCTTTATAACCTTAACATGACATATCTAATAATCCATTCTGTTAGAGCAATGGGACCGATAAAAGTTGAAAGATTACCTTGCAAATCGGCGTGAATACTCTCAAAGCACTCGGAACTGGACGAGAAATCGTCACGGAAAGAGGCTTCAAGAACTGAAACCGGACTTGGTTGATCACCTTCCTTTGTGTTCTCACAAGACTGTAGTTCAGAGACAGAAGACTGATTCACCTCCTGGAACATCATTCAGTATCAAGATATGCCATTACAATAATATATCAACAACCAACGTTTTCGGAAGACAAACTTAAACGTCAGGCTTACTTACAGGGTCAGTTAACGGGGTGGAAGCCGGCAAGTTTGGTGATTCAGAAGACAAGGTGGTCTTGGTATCCTCAAAATTTGAACCATTCTCATTGTCTGAATCTGCGTCTGCTGAGAAACCGGAATGCGCTTTTAAAGCCGGAAGCTTCTGTCCGAAAACCCGGCCATCCATATAAAGGATTTTGTTTGAACTTGAGCAGATGTTGATCTCTGGTGAAGTATTGGATGACAATCGAGATTTGTTATCACTACTGGGTCTCGAATTTCCTATCAGTTTCAACCGTACTTCCCCATAGTGAAAACTCCTCTTAGCTAACCCATTTCGGTTTATTGTCTCCTTAGGTATAACAATCTTGTAATAACTAGAGCTCTCCTGATTCATGATGGTTCCGGGTTTTGCAGAATTTCTTGTGGATGCACCTTTCCAGCCATCCCTACTGCTGATTCCGCTCGGTTCTGGCAAATCAGACTGTCCGATATTGTTCTCGAACCTTTTGCTGAGGCCATTAAAACTTGCCGGTCGAGCTTTCCTATCTGAAATCGCGAGCATTTCAGCCAATGTACTGCTTCTGCACATCTCCCGCCCTTGCTCAGATTTTTGCGCCAGCTTCCACCTCCGTGACATTCTCCTCTTAGCTTCCCTACTCACAGACGATTCAGTTGACCCAGAAGACAAATATCGATTTCTTGTTCTTGCAGCCGACGGCACTAACTCAGATCCACTTGTAGAGTCACTCCCAGAAGAGCTTTCATCCCCTGCATAACCTCTGAATCCTGAAGTCTCAAAGTTCATGGAACCGGCCCTGGCACGGGTTCTCTTCACTTGCCTAGTGACTCTTTTGCCGATTTCTCTGGACTCTCTAGTCTTGTGCCTTGAAAGGCTGACATCTTTATATGCTTTGTGTCTGTCATACGCGTCTGAGTCTCGATTGCTTGTCCATGGAAGCCTGTGATCTGCCCTGAACTCATCAGAAGAACTCTGTGATGAAAGGGTTCTACCGGCATTTCTCGTCTTCCCAAGTTTAGGTTTCATAACAACAATCTCGGTGGGCTGCATCACACTTTTCTCTACAAGCTTCTCCTGTGGTAAGTCAAGTGTATTATCATAAGAAACATGCCTACACACACTGTGACTCTTCCTCGACAATTTTCTATCAAATTCCAGTGTGTTGAGGCTATCCACATGCATTGGGCCTTTGGAAGACTTCAAAGACGGTACCTGGATGCAGTGCGGTTTACGATCTATGCTTTGAAGATCGTGCAAATGTTTAGTGAATAATGAATCCGGATTTTGAAGAAATCTCAATAGGAGGTCCTTGTTAGAGTCTAGATCCTCAAGCGCATCACTGAACTCCTTGGAATGATGGAGTTTCCCATCTGTTGATAGACGCTTAGTCTCCATGAACTTCTGCCGTATAAACGCCATCTCGGCCTCAGTGAGATTAGTATTCCCTCTTCCCCGATACAGATTTCCACCACTTTCCACCCTTGCGTCCAAAACTTCAAAGACATCTCTGAATTCTTGCTCATCCTTTGAGCCCCTCCTGGAAGATCTATCACCATCATATCCATGAGCTTGCTCACATGCTCTCCTCCTGCTTTGATGATTCTCCAGAGATTTGTGCTGTTTGTGGGAAGAACTCTGAGGCGACAGCCCATCGAGCCCCATCAACCTCGCTATAATGCTAGGTGACCTCCTTTTAGATTCATTTTGCTTCGACATTTCTCGCGCCAATAAGCTTTTCATCGGCATTGCGATGATCTTGTGAGGAGATTTCCACCTCAACTACAAAAGCGCAACAATTCCACTACATTTAGGATCAATCTCATCATATTTTCAAAGCAATACATTGCATGTGTGTCTGTGTTGTGAGCATAGATCTCGAAGAATATGCATGCATACATACCGTGCCTTTACCCAAAACGTCACAGCGAGGAGAGCTGGAGTCAGAAGATGACCATGGAGACTTGAGCTTCTGAACCTGTTTCTTTCCCTGAGAAATGGATCGAAACAGGCAGGTCAGTACAAAATTTACAAACTTTTAACACAAGGGTTTAACCCATTTTCTTCAAATTCCCAAAGCAAACTGTAAAATTCACCCAGTCAAGACCCAACTCTGTTCCCCATGGAAACTCCTATTCTTTCTGGGATAGAGGGCTTTTAGGTTTTGGAGTTAGAATCCGATGGAAGATGACTGAATGATTGATTAAAGCAAGCGACTTTTGAGGGAAAGATCATAATTAAGGAGACAAAAGCTAGAATCTTAGCGAAAAATGTGGGAGAGAACATGAAAAAGCGAAGGTTTAGAGCAATCATTGCACGTAAAGTAACATCACAACCCTGATGAAATTAGTTAACCAAAATCAAATCATGACTGGTGACACCACCAAACAAGATGAAGCCCTTGAATTTCTTCTTCTTTTATCATCAAAGCACACGACAAGACATCACACCTTCTACCGACCATTTAACTGCAGTTCCGCACAAGGTAAGAAACGAATACCCCATTGTTTTTTTTTCTTCTTTATATCAAAGCAACAGTTTCGTTTTCTTATCTGCAGGTTTTGTCCAAATGTTAAATTGAGAGAAAACATTTGCTAAGATCGAATCTGTACTCCTAACCGATCAGGGTATATTGATGGCATTACCATCATGTGGATGAAAATTTCAAGCAACCTAAGAAAAATCAGTAGGAGCTTTGTTTGGTTGCTGGGAAAAATTCAGTCTCCAGGAAAACATTTATTACTTTATCAGGAAAAAGTTGGAAACATATATATATATATATATATATATATATATATGTATATATCATTTTCTCGCGTTTTCTCGGCAATCGAACGGAGGAGTACAGGGGGAAAAGGAGCAGGGAAGCAATCCTAACCTTCACGAGAGCTGGGTACTAAGGAAGCAAATCCATCGCGGGAACTCAGATCGGCGAGGCGAAATGCATATTCATATATATATTTTTTTTATTGAATGCATATCTATATATTTCACATATGGGAGAGAAATATTTCACATTCTCTGGAGGAAGGAGGCATGTCGAAGAAGAAATTTTGCATCGGGAATCACGGAAAACTTGCAGGCGCAGAAAAAGTAGAGGATTTCCCGAGAAATCATGATCCAGAATGAAACGAGAACAAGAAATTGCACATGAATCTCTCGCCTACAGCCCTCGGCCACAGGATTAAAAGACAGGGAAAAAACTTCGAGAGATAGAGCAAGTGATCGCACAGAGAGACAGAGAGAGAGAGAGAGAGAGAGGACTGAGAGTAACAGAAGAAAAGCCGTGAGAGAGAGAGAGAGGTGGCTTTGCGGTGATTTCGAAAGTTCAAAAAATGGTAATGTAATTATGTAAATAATTAAAAATACTTTTGTTGAATTGAATATATTAAATATACTTCCGAAAATAATAAAAAAATGGAAACAGAAAGAGGCGAGTGGTGCGTGTCTGTGCTATTCTCGTCCTATGCATCCGTCATGTACGCTGCCACGTGTCTCTGTGTTCGTTTTTTTAATATTTTTTATTTTTTTCGTTCATTATATATTGTATTTATTTTTGTATGTCCCGTAGAGGTAGAGATTTGTAAATAAATTTTCGATTCTAATAATTGTTTTTTTTTGGAATATCATCAACAAATAGGATGAAACTAAACACATGGCGTTACGGTAAATTAAGCGTATAATTTAACTTTGCGAGTGGGAATAAACCGAACCTTTGGAGAAAAAAGTTTAAGAAACAAAGGGCATTTTGATTACTTGTTTAGCTTGAACACTACAACATCGCACAACCAATTGTCAAATCCAAACCCTGAGCCGACCAATTTATCAAATAAAAATGTTTGTACACCCCCACATTACCATTTAAACTTACCAAATAAAAATACAGTTCTGGTATAGATGGTTGAAAAAATGGGATGTTTTTATCACAAATTCGAGGCAGAACATGAAATGAACCAAACCCAGAATACCCGTTTTCGTTCTCCGGTACAGGTTAACCAGAACCAAGAACCAAAAACTCAATTCAGTTCCCGGTTTAGAGAGCCGAGCAAGGTGGTATACCTTCGGTTTAGTCCGGTAATACAGTGATAAACAAGCATTCATACAATCAGTTTTTTTTTTTTTGTGAAATAGATTAGAAATGGAATGATGAGAGTATTGTATTTTTTTTATACTCTGATATTACAAAGAAAAATAAACCGTACAGAGAAAGAGTAAAACAACCAAATGCCAAAATCTAACTTCTATATTCTATATAAAATACAAAACGTTACCGGCCTCTCCGACCGCCGCCTTGTCTACGGCCTTTGCCTCTCCCTCTGAAACCTCCGGGGGATTCTAACCTGCTTCAGACCAAGTGACTGAACGCCTCTCCTCCTGTTTCGATATCCTTCCTCCTCCCTCTTCGCCCTTGTACTTGGCCGAGCTTCTTGCCCGGAACAAAATCTCTCGGGAACCTCCGGGCTGCCCCGACTTTCCTCGAGAGCCTTGATGCGTTCACTGAGAGGAAGAGTGTCTTCTTTCGCTTATGTGTGCCGTTCATCCTTCACTTCGAGCAACCTTCACCGGAAAAACATGATGTTTTTAGGTCCGATAAAAAGAAAACCAATCGTACAGATAAGGAGCGTATAATGACTTTACTTTGGAGCTTTCGATTTCTTGTCTCGCCTCGTCATCTCGTCGTCCGAAGATTCCTCTGATGCGTCGGATTCGCTCTCGCTATCCTCCATTATATAGGAAGATATTATTCCTATAATATTATCATTAATATAGTTATGACTTATCCTATATATTATATCTAGAATATTCTATTGTATTTTGCTATATATTAGGATATAATCTTTCCATGATCAATATAGAAATACATTTCCCTATTACATTACAGGTTCGTAGTGTTCTTAGAACAAAGTCGGCTGCTTCTCCGAAGAAGCGGCAATTGGATGCAAAGGCATATGTATTCTTTTGATTCCTTGATGATTGAAACCCGAAAAATATTTTTGCCATTTAGTCCGAATGATATCGAGCAAGAATACTAGTAAGAACAAATATCGTAATACCGGGTTTTGGAACATTGTTTTGAATCGATTGTCTTCAAAAACCTCCTTAGACATTCTGGGCCTCTCTTTCTTCGATATTCGTATCATCGTCATCATCAATGCCTTTTGGTTCGTGTTTGGTTCCTTTCTCGTGGAGGATGGTGGCTGCAAGTTCGCGGTTAATCCTTCTCTTCTTCTGCGGTAAAAATACAAGACAACACACAATGAATGATAACGAATCGTTCAGGGGATGATAACGGCCCGATATCAAGATAGAAAAATACTGACCGTAATTCTCTGGCTACGTTCGGCTTCTAGTTTCTCTTCTTCTTCTGTTCCAGGTAAGATTCGTACGCAAAAGGATCGACCACTATCACGACCGTAACTGGATATCTTAAAATTTATGGAATCTTGAAAAGGAACAACATGAAAAGAAATTACTGTTTTTTTTATGAAGGTGATTTGTATTACTCTAACAAAAACAAAAAATTACAACCAGTCTATAATTGTATACAAGAGGAACCCATGAGTAGATGGTCAGAATAGAAACATAGCTATCGAAAAATAGAGGCATAGTGTTTATGGAGGTCTTAAATAATGGGTGAGATAGTACCAATCTGCTAGCAGAGATGAGGTTGCAGCTGTGGGATTTCTCTTGACTGACAAGAGCATGTCGCGCATAATACGGTCGACTTTCCAACGCAGGTGGGGTGCGGTGCGGCTCGTACCTCGGAAAATTTTGTAATTCCTTTCCTTCCATATTTCATATACAGAAATCTGGAGTAATAGCTTGACAATTGTATTCCTTCTCCTGGTGTTGTCATTTGTCGGGCTGTTGAACCACCCACCATTTTCGTCGTGTTCAACGGAACTTTAGGCCAGCATAATGCCGCAAAGTGACTCCAAACATCGTAGGCATAGCTGCACTCAAAAAATAAATGGTGGTGCGATTCAACAGACGAGTTACACAACCTGCAATTCGTGTCCGATGTCACGATCCCCAACGCTGAAGTCGGTCTTTCGTCGGCAACCGTTGATGCATCACTTGCCAAAGGAGAAAAGCATATGTAGGGACACTGACCGAGAACCAAACAAGAGGATGTCATGGAATAGTTCCTTGAATTAGCCTAAGCTGATTCCAGGTTCTAGAGGAAGAGAAGTATGACCTGTAATCATCCACTTTGTATGTCCATAGGGCTTGGTCAGGTTGATTTGCAGATGATGGGGATTGGATCGTTGAGATATGTATCAACATCTGTTAGATTCTGTCATTTCTAACTCCCGGGAATGTCCAAGAATCTTCGACAACAGCTTCATTCAAGGTGGCCGAAGATGATAGCCTTAGGTTACGAGGGCCAGTAACACCAACAAAGTCAATAAGCGGACCCAAATCTGTTCATGGATCATACCCGGACATAATTATCTCACCATTTCCAATCTAAAACTTTAGCATATGCTTTGCTAAGTCTTTTATTCCAAGCAATTTTCTAAAATTCCATGAAAATCGGGCCGAGGAATCTGAAATTCCATGAAAAGAGATTACTGTTGGACATGCTTGCACGTACGAGATATTTCTAGATAATGATGGATCATGTTAATGAAATATTCATCTATAAGTACGCCACAAATGGGAAAAACACTCTAATTACAGACTGAATGCATGCAGAATGTGGATCTGAGGCAGACAAAAAAAGACATCATCATCTTATTATGCAATAAGTAAAAGGATAAAAGTACAAGTGGGCTTGCCACCTCAGACATCACCACGCAGCATCCTCGTGCACCCGCTCACATGTGATCACAACCCTTTCTCCAACCCGGAGATATTATTCCCACTAGTAGTAACTAACGGAGACTTAACGTGGACTCCTAGACATCCGAATCACGTAACCGTGGTTAGCCGTTACCGTTATGGTCTCCGTCCATGTCACGTCCAACTCCTTATGAAAAGTCATATTAATGTGATGGGCTTTCATCCTCGGCCCATGAGATAAAAATATCTTATCTAAGCCCATGAAGATAAGCATAAAGACACTCGACACGTGTACGCTTCTGATTCGGTCTAAGGGAAACCCCCACGTCTCTCGCCCTTGATCTTGTTGACCTTTCAAATTCCTTCCCCCTGTGTGTGTATATATAAATGAATTTATCTTTTCTATGCTTCTCTCCATCTCCTTCCTTGTTCTTCTTTCTCAATTTAGCTTCTTCTCGCTGGCATGCGTCATTCCTTTGGATATTTCTCCGGGTTCTGCGATGCGATGTTAGGGTTCTTGCTTTCCGTGTGAAATCTTTATTGTCCGATTCGTCGTCTCTCTAGTTATTTCGTTCTACTCTTTTTGCTTTCGTATCGATTTCCCTTAGATCTTGCGTCTGTCGGATCGGATTTTGAAGATTAGGGTTCTTCGTCTGTTGTGGGTCTAGGGTTTCGAAGAGCATCGATATAATGCCTTCGGTACCCTTTGAGCTAATCCTCCTCGATTTGGTTCCTTCGTTGACTTTTTATCACTCTGGTTTGTGTTCCCATCGTCTGAAACCTCTTCAGAAGAGTGATTGGCGTGGTAATCTTAGTTAACGTTGTTCTTGAATCGTTCCTTTTTCTCTTCGATCTTTGGTTTTTTTCCCTTTTTTTTTATCGTCGTTTGGTTCCTGGTGACTTTTGTCAGCTCGGTTCTATCATCAAAGTAGAAAATTCGTGATCTTAATCTCACCGTTGGAAGCGAATCGCCGGGCATAGAATCGGTCTCGAGTATTGATTTTCTAGCTTCTGGGGCACTCGATTTGAACCTAAAAAGGTATGCAGATGAAAATTTTCGTTCTAGGAATCTCTTGGCTTTAAATATTACTGAATTCGGTGCATGTTTTCGTGATTGCCACTCATGTCTGAACTTAGTCTCCTTTGGTCACATGGATTATGTTGGAATTTGTACGGATGAGGTTTTCACGGTGTAATTTGTGCGTGTTGTTTGTCATGTCGATTGTGTTTATCTTTGTTCAGATTATGATATTGTTCTTGCTCTTACAACTGAAATTTTGTTCATTGCAGTTCTGCTCTGAATACATTTAGCTTCAATTGGATATGAGCTCCATTTCTGGAAATTCGGGCTACAGAGATGCAGATACACACCTTGAGAACCCGATTTCGAGCTCAACAAAATGCTCTGATGGCTCGAAGCTTCATCCTTCCTTCACTGGCTCTGAAGATGCTCAGGAGTCTGACGGGGATGATTCCGGTTATATACACCAAACTGTGAATGAAGTGTATGAAAAAAAGGAAACCGGAAAATTCGTTTCAGGTTGTTTATCTCTCAAGTCTTCAGATGAAGAAGACGAAGGTTTGGCAGCTGCATTGCAGCAAATGTTTTCTGAGACTGTAAGTGTCTACTTGCTCTCCATTATGCTCATTAATTGATGTTCTTTTTTAGCCTTTATTTTATGTTTTTTGATCTTTTTGGGTTTCTTGCTGTCTGTCCATGAGCTGCTGAATCTGTGCAAGAAACTGTTTCTTCTGTCTTGCCATATGCACATTCTCGGGCATGAGCTGTTTGGTCTATGTTCCCATGGTGATCGGTGATCTCACAGTGCATGAGTTTGTGTGTAGTTGCATTCTGAATGTTACTTTCAACAGATAAAAGATAGTAAATCTCCAATTGGTTAGAGCAGAGCCATTAATAATAGTCAACTACACAAACTGTTCTTGGTTGAAACATGGACAAGATGTCCCATTACATGTCTTAGAATATGTTCAATTGCACTTCATATGTAGAAAGAGAATCTCTTTAAATAGTGTAAAGATAAGATAAATCTGCATATCTCCATCCATTAAAGTAAATTGCAGTGGAATTTCATGTCTCAAACGTATGTCTTTCGATGTTGGTCGATTCTTGTTTATTCTGTTTTCAGCAGACACAAGTGATTCTCATCCCTGCGATAAAAGGCAGTCGGGAGAAGCACGGTCTCTCGCCGAGGAAACTGAACGTGTCGTGGGCGGAGGATGTGTATGATCCCCCGCCTTCGATTATGTCTCACACGAGGGGCAAGAGACAGAATCAGCCAAAATCAAAGGCCAAAGACAATAACCACAAGAAAAACGGGAAGAAAGGGCATAAGGGAAGCAGCAACTCTTCTTCTCGTGGGGGCAAAGACAAGAAGCAGTCTTCTCGGAAACATGGAAATGGAAGTGGTAGCAGAGACAAGTTTCAGATGCGCATTGCGGTGGCATGTTCCTGAAGAATCATAACAGCTCCGCCATTGTTCACCTCTCTCTCTCTCTCTCTCTCTCTGTGTGCTTTTTTCCTATTATGAGTGTGTATGTGTATAAATAAATCTTAAGACGGGCGTGGAGTATGTTGTTGGGAAGTGTGTTTATTTCTTTTTGTTTAAACTCTGTCAAGCTTTTGCTATTGAGGATGTCGGATTTGGTCTGTGTATTCTCTATCCGAAAAGTGAAGAACCCGAGTTGCAGAGATGCCAGCGAACAAAAGTGGTATCCAAGCAATTGTGTACTGTCAAATGGAAAATTTTAAAAGAAATGTACTTGTGGCAAGGAAAATAAGTAATTGAAAGTAGGTAGATTTAGAAAATAACAAAGTGAAATATCATGGCATGATTGAAAGTATTGAGCGATGCATAGTTTGTTTTGTGAGAAAAGAAAACTATGAATCGAGGTTGTATAATTTAATTCAAATGATCAATCTCGACCCAACAAGTTAAGAGATTTAATAGATTCAGATTCTGAATTACAATCTTAAATTTGGTAACAGAGAAACAATATCTGCAGCAATCTTACCATTGTTGGGCTGCCGAAGAGAAGAGACTGTTGAGAGACCAAATGACTGGAATAAACAAGTAGAGCCATCACCAATACAAGAATCTCAATTCAACTATGAAGGTGTTGATCCAAAGAGGGATGAAATGGTTGGGAATTCATCCGCACCACCCCACGGTTTTGTTCGTTGTGAAACCATGTCCAGAAGATGAAGGATCATCCTGCTGCTGGCGAGGAAGTGGTCGAGGCTCTCTGGGTTTGGCAGGGTCCACGAATATCACCCAACCATCCAAGAACTTTGCGTTCATCCCTTCCTTCGCCTTCTCAGCTTCTTCCACCGACGAGTATGTGATGAAACCGTATCCCCTTGATCTCCCAGTCGCCCTGTCCGTGATGACTTTAGCTGCAAACCCATCAGCAGATTTGAATTTGGATCAAACCCGAGATTAAGAATCGCTAAAATATAGCTCAAAATCCAGCCTTTCGATCTTTTTTATTCGGAGGTTTTAGGAATCACATGGAGTAATGGTTGCTAGGGGCATACAGATAAAGAGTACCTTCTACAAGGTTCCCAAAGGGAGAAAAAGCTTCTTGAAGCTTTTCATCTGTTGTGGCTCGAGAGAGACCTATTCGAGACAAAATTATACAAAAGGGTCAACACATGCTCAAGCATAGAAGCTAGGATTTTCGATTTGTCCAATCTTAAGAGCACAAAGAAGAAAAATAAGCCACATTTCGGCAATCTAGGTAACGGATCAATTCAAACAAAAATCACTAGATAAGGCTTATATATCTATTGTCACTTCAGGGGGGATACAATTGCAACTAATGGCAGAAGCCATTCCCTTTTCCTAAGGAATCAGGTTCGGAAAAGCAACATGTAAAGCAATTCAAGAAACTAGGTTAAGCCAAAAAAATTCCTTTCCTATGATTCTTGAGAGCCGAAATGTGCATTCCATGCCCAAACTCTTTCTTCTACAGAAGCAACAATGGTGAAACAACAAAAACCAGAACATTGGTCCTATCCTTACATTCTACGTAAGAATCAAAAGGCTACTAAACACATTTGCACGATACCATTTACAATATACTAATATAGAATGAAGAAAGAACAAACACACGGATAAAGTTCATGTCATGTATGAAAAATACGAGTTCCTTTATCAGAAACTGCATGTCTAAGATACGGGATTGACCTCTTTACACCTATACATGTTTGAAATTGAACGAGTAGATCTAAGAACAACAGGAACAGAGCACAGGAAATTGTTTAATATGATTCCTCACAAGATAGTTCTTATCAAAACACGACATCCATCACTTGTAGGATCATGGAAGAATTTCTGCTTATTTTATCACGCAAATCGATTATCAACAATCAGCGCTACGACTACAGAATCAAAATTACTCCATTTCTTCAAACGCACAGAGAAGAATGTCTCGTTGGAAATTGTTACACACGTCGCCTCTACAACCTAAACTCGTTGGCAACAGCAGAACACATCATCCGTACAAAATTCAACCAAAAAAACCTAGAATTCCGCGTAAATCGAAGAAAGTAGACAGCACAAGAAAAATGGACCATAACACTGTTCCAGACACATCGATTATCCATAAACATCAACTCCGAGAACAAAAGAAAACGAAAGAAGAAGAGTCGAGAGACGGAAGGAAATACCGCTGACGAAGAGCTTAGGAGATGTGAGAAATGAACAGTGACGAACCCAAAAGGACTGCGACGAGAGGCTGTTGGGTCCACTGAATATGCGCCGGAAACTGGAAACAAACGCCATTTTCTCGCCGGGAAAAAACTTTCGCCGCAGCGGTATCAATCACGGGTGCATTTTAGGGCTTTTGAAGGGTTTTATGATTGGAAGGTTCGAGAGACAAACGAGCAATCTCCACCGTTAGATCTGATTACTTCAGATCCTTTTTAAATGGTCAGCGGTGGATACATTGATTAAAAGCACCATTTTTCTCGTAATGAAATGGAAATAATATCACGGAGGAAAAAAATTAACTTCAAAAATTTGCTATGTGCTCGGTTTTTATCTTTATTTTGAGATTCATAAGATTTTCACATCCAACCAATAAAAAAAAGAAATAGAAACTCAAAAACTTTGTGTGATATTTATAAGGATATCCAAAATGCAATAAAAGAAGAGAACCCCGTTTTGGATGATAATAATAGTAACCCCAATTTAAATATAAAAAAAATATTAGTGGCGATCCTCCTCATTGTAGAAATTAGATGATGTTTACAAATAAAGAATTGGTATACTCTCACAACAGGTAGAGGACCCACCCACGAATCAATGAAACAAAACAAAAAGAACAACCTTCCTTTACACAACCCGAAACCAAACCAAACCAAATCTTGAGAAAGAGGCAACTTTCTTGCATAATTTAGTTTAAGGGGAACACACAAAAAGAGAGAAAAAAAAAACAATAAATTCCAATATTATGATTGTCCCATTTTTCTATGTTAATTAATTTTTCTATACAAATATCTATCTCTCTAGCGAGAGAGACTCTTTCATGTGTCAGTCGTCCTAACATCTATTTTTCTATATTAAAAAGTTTGTACAAAAAACAAAACAAAACAAAATACAAATTGGGACCCAAAATGGAAAAAAAAAAAAAGCGACTAACCAAAGAAAAACAAACACGAATATGATCCAATGGAACAAAAAAAAAAAATCAAAACTTGGCAGAAAGATGTGAAATTGAGTGTTTGTCTCATCACTGCTCATGTGATACGATGGGTACTTTCTTCTCCAACATTGATGTTCCCTTGAAGACTGTGAACTGCACTTCTCTTTGGTACTTCTGCATCTACAAAAACATTCACTTGTTGCTTCCTTACCACCACGACCATATAACAACAATCCCATCTTAACCCTAATCCAAAATCCGACCCACTTTATCACATATATGTACTTTGTTTTTGTTTTTTCTCTCTTCCTTGGATCATCAATTACTACTTGCGGACAGAGATGGCACAACTACACCATATCAGATAAGACCAGAAGCTGCTAAAATCAAATATATAGTATTAAGGGTTTACATGAGATTCTCGGATATAACTATTTGACAAAAACTAGGGTGAGATTGGATCGGATCTGAATATGTTATCTACGATTATCACTCGGATTGAGCCGATTATGAAACGAAAAATAGAAAGTGAAAATATGCAAGACAGTTTTTTTGTTACTTACTTGCTGCTCTGACAACTTTGTAAAGCCAAACTTCTTCGTCCAAATCGACTCGGCTTCTTCAGCTGCCGGGAGAACTAGGTTCTCAACTTTCAGCGAAGAAAGTAGACTCTCGATGCATGCAAACAACCCTTGAAAGTAACCCTGCAGAACCCAGAAGCAGATTTCGTGGTTTCGTTACACTTATGAACAAATAAAGAAGGAAACCGGAAAAAAGGGGGGGACGTAAAGATGCTTTCACCTTTCCCTGGAACTGTCGGCTCGTAGCTACAAGAGGAAGTTCAGCAACTTGGCGACCAAAAACTCTAAGCAATGCGGCAGACACAACAAGAGAACTGAATATGGATCACAGAGAGTAGTTGTATCAGAAAGAAAATCAATTAGCATATCAGCAGAGGAAATAAGAAAATGACAAAGGAAACTTTTCGTAGGAAAAAAAAAAGCAAGCGTCAAGGACAGGAAACATACTTCACCATCAGAACCACGCAGTACATTCCTCCAAACTCCTGCCCAGATATGTTTCTCCTGCAAATTTATCGGGGGAGTTAACAAGGCAATAATAACACTAATAAAACATGTTCGCAGAAAAGATAAATAGAAGAAGAGGGCAATCAGATCAGAATTTGTGACATTATAGCTTTTACCCGTAGACCATGACAGGAATGAGATCACGGCCAGACTTTGCAACAATAGGATCGAAACACTCCTGGAAAAGTGGACAGGCAAAAGTTAAAAGCCGTATATTTGTGGTAAACATGCGAAAGGGTGAATTTTGCAAGCACGATGGCTAGCCAACATATAACCCAAGAACACAACTCTAACATGAAGTGAAAAACTAAAAATCAGTAGAACATATCTTCAAAGTCAAGACCTACCCTGAAAATAGCAGCGGCCCTTGACAGCAAGGGCAGATGCTCTGGATATCGACTTTTTCCGCTAAGTATTCTCCACTGCACACTATCCTCACTTTCAATAAATATTCCCTTTTCTATGCATTTTTTGCTTATTGTGTCTGACAAATGAGCAGGAATAGCTTGTGCTCCACAGGAAACAGAATTCTGGAGAGCCGTGTGAATCCTGCTGCAGTCGCCACAACAGAACCATTTGTCTTGCGGAATTTCCTATAACGTTCAGGAAAGTAGTTGACAAGACTTCAGTGACCTCATCAACATAGAGGGTACATGGAGAAACTTACAATACTTACTTTCAAATCACAAAGGCCATTCTCTCTCAAGCAACCGACATGGTACTCTTTCTCACACTGCAAAGGAAAAGAGAAAGTAATGTTTAGGCAAGAAAATAGTTGGTAAAAGGAAACGCTGAATAAAGGAGGTAAGTAAAATAAGAGTACCTGGTCACAGAGAATTACTGTTCGATCATCAAATTTCCCAACGCTAAAATCATGGGACCTATCAAAGATAGAACAAGAGTGAACAATTAGCAGAGTGGAAGAGCCAAATATAAAAAGATTGCATCAGCTGAAGTAGTTAAAAGTATTATAACATTAGAATTTCTCGAATGTGCCAAAAAAATAAAAATTGATGAGGTCCACATGCCAGTTCCACACCATTAAAGATATGCTAATTGAAAGAAAAGAAAGAAATCGCCTTTTAGGGTAGCCTTCAGTTTTTCACATGATATTAAGTACTTCCACCAAACGTAAACTGTTTAAAAGCTTCTGCGGATGGTATCTTGCAACATTCATAGACAAAGCATGTTTTGGGGAGAAAGACTATGACAACCAACCTGCAGAATACACAACCGCCAATTTCACTTTCTGGTGCTTTCACAACTCTTGTCAGTCTTATAACTATCGGTTTCGAGCTACTCCAAGGATCACCAGCTGAGACCTTTCTACTAGATACAGGTTTATCATTGCAGCTTGAACAGTACCAAGTTCCTTCAGGCTTAGACTGAAATTTCAAACATGCTGCATGTGGAGTGACGCAAAGGATGAGAGACGAAGAAACAAACCAAGAATCGATATTAGATATCCGAGCGATGCTGATAACAAAAACACTTCAATGAATAGGGTGAAGTCAGGATATCAGAAATTCCTTCATTCTTATGGCTACAAGAAACTATTTACAGAATTGGCACTTCAGCAATTTTCACATTTAGGAAGCACATAACGTGGGCTTGAATGAATGTATAACATGTTTATGATATCAGAGCAGACGAGCAAGTGCACTATACTCTACTGGTAGCAAATACCTACTTGTATGAAATGCTTGAGGACACCCGGCACAGAGTAGCAAATCTCCACCATCCCCACAAATAGTACACATGTCATCACTGTCACCAGTGGTAATGACATGTCCATTTGCCAATGACATGGCTATATCATGCAATGATAATCCAGAAGGGATGTAGATATGACGATAACTGCAAAAGAGAATAAAATCAATAGAATACCTACATTACAGAAGAACACCATATCTTTGTTAGATCACTCACGGTTGTCGTCTAGCAGCCATTCCGGCATGTGCTTCAAACTGAGAAGGACTGACCTGTTGTTGAAGAAAGTACAACATATGTTAACAAAAAGACACCAAAATATCACAAGTCTCAGGGTTGATGTAAGTAGCCACCGCAATCAACATTTTACCTCTCTGTCACAGCAGCTACATACTATACCGCTTCCCTGCTTGTAGCCCTGACGTAGTCTCTGTGAACAATATAAATATTAGCAAAACCAAACAAAAGCTCAAGGTGAGAATGGACAGAAATCAATTCATGTGTGTGATAACAAACCTGTCCTTTCACATAGTATGCCAATTCAGTTCCATCCGGCAGTCCATTTGGCATAAACAGCAACCGGTGTAAATCATTGTCCCTATAAAAATATGATTAGTGTAGTGGATTGAAACACGAACAAGAAAACCAAAATTACGGGGCAAAAAGTACCTCTTCCTAGTGCCACCTTCAGTAACTTTCTTATGTTGCATTCCCGTTCCAGAATTATGAGAGCGAACCCTACAAGTCCATCAACCAAGTAATAAGTCCATACTCATTAACTACTCATCCGTAAATCACAGCAGTAAACCATTCCTAATACAAACAAGACATTCACATACTTCTTAACTATTCGTTTCTGTCCTCCGATGGTGTCATTTATGCTCGTCATCTCTCTAAAATAGTTGGTCTCCGAAAAGTAAGATGTAGAGCTGTGACTCTCATCAAGAGATTGACCAGAATAGCTGCAAAACTCACAGAAATTACTTTTAGCTAACATATTATGGTAACTTGGAATATTATAACTGCCGCATGGAACAAAAGCTGAAGTGAAAAAGGGGTGGGATATCGACATGGAGTCCAAATATCACACTTGTATCTGCTCAAAGATAACTCCACGGTCCACAAATTTTCAGAATAACGACCCCAGCCCCCAACCCAAAATAATTAATGACTTGTACCTGGTAGTGCAAAGATATGGGTTCAGATGCTCCATGTTATAGTTCCTGTCAGATTCAGACATGCTATTGCCCTTTTCGAAATTTGCTGCGGTAAAGAACACAATGTTGGTTCCGATAGTAAACAAATTCAAACTGCTAGAAGTTCCTTGAAAAACAAAACAGCAGAATTCAACCAAGTTAATAAAAGACTAGACAGTCACCTTTCCACGTCTGAAAGCCCTCCTCATTCAGAGCAGAACCGCACATATTCCTTATCAGCTCGTAAAGTACATCAAGTGGAGCAGTTTTCAGTTCTTGAATAATGTTAAAGATCGGCCTCCCGTTCTCCAGAAAGATGTGATTATTTGGGTGTCTCGTTTTTGCTCCAGCATGTTGCTCAAACTCATATGCACTAAGAACCTTCAAGTGCAACAGAGTGAACCCAGTACTTCTATGTGCACACTCCAGTTAATCATGAAAACAAAAATCAAAAGGACCCACAAGAGCATACTTACTTTGGAGAAATTGCAAGTTGTACATCCACACAAGTACCCACCCGAATGGATTATCCCCTGAAGCTCTCTCTGAGGGCCATAAAGTTGTACATGAACAGATAGCTTATAAATTACCATAATGAAGGAGAATATATACATCCAGAGCAAATAAACTAGACAGGGAAGCGGGAATGTACCACTGGTGGGGTTGAAATATACTTCACACGAGCTCCCTCGAGAATTCCCGTCGATAATAGCTTCTTCACATTAGAGGGGAAGTTCCCAGAACCAATCTTCTTAGCCGTCTTCACTCCCATTGAAGAAGCTCCACGTAAAGAAACACAGTCCCATGCAGGATTCTTCGTCTCCTTTGGTTTACTGAGCTTAAACGTAATTTTCGTGATTCCGGTCGAACTAAGATGCTTCGGAATCTCCAACACGAAACTGGACGTCGAAACATCACTCGAATTCTCCATTCCATTTCCACTGCGTTCTTCATCGCTTATAGTATATTCAGAACCCGAGCAAGTAGCAGTAACATCGCCGCACTCCAGTGTGTCGCCGGTGCCGGATTTCGACGGTTGGCTCGAGATGTCGTGAAAACTGGAGGTGTTTTCCACCGGTGACGCCATTGGATTCGATATTTCAGATTTCACGTCATCGTTTGAAGCTTCTCTCACTTGCTTCTTGTTCGGATACTCTGCTTCGGTGTCATCTGCGAGAGACAGACGGTCTCTTTTCAATTCGCTCATTGATGAATTCCCTTCCGCCATTACTCCTTCCATTGGCATCTCCAAACAAACAGCTCCTTCTCCCATTTAAAAACGTTCTTCGAAACGCTCAATATCACACGATAGTACTCAAGAAAACAGCAGTGGGATTAACTGAAGTTGGATCTGGAAGTTTTGAACTCGAACGATCCAAATTGCAATCTCGCTCCACTGGGATTTCGATTCCAATCCCGAATAATCGGATCCCGGTTCCAATTCGAAACGAAGTGAACAAACTGACAGGCTATTTCAATTTTCTTTCCGAAAATCTCGGAGAACAGGTAACGGAAACAAGCCCGAATCGATCGATTTAACAACCTAATTCATATTCTTACACGAAGAAATCGAAAATCCAGACGGGTATCCAAATAAACAACCGGGAAAAATCTTAAACTAGACAAAAGCATACGGTAGGGAAGAATCACGAAAGTAAGATTCCAAATCTTACGGATCCAAAGATCTGCAGAAAATGCAAGAAAAATCGAATTCGGAACAAAGGAAGACGATAGAGATGAGTCGGAGCCAACGACAACGAATTAGGGTTAGGGTTTAGAGAGAGAGAGAGAAGAGCAGAGAAAAAGGAGAGGGAACGTGCAAGGCGGCAACGAACCAGAACGAATAGCTTTGTTCGCGGTCCTGATTTAACTTTTAAAGAGGAGAGAGAGGTGATGATGAAGAGGAGGAGGAGGAGAGAGAAAACACTGATATTTATTTTGTTAAAATTAAAATTAAGGGTTTTTAGAAAATTACGTGACTAGAAAATCCAGATTATAATTGCAACTTAGTCATTTAGTTTATTAGATTTTTGGATCGGATAACCTTTTGATTATGATGTTCATTAGTTAATTAGATACGTAGTCGAATAATTAATCATAACCACTCAGTCATAAAATTAGTAATTTGAGGTAAATGTATAAACAACAAATCATGATAGTTAAGGAAAATCTCTTTTGATAACTATACTATTAATATTTTAAAATTCAATTATGTTAAATAGCACGTTATAGTTCTAAAAAATATTATTATTGATATACTTACCAATGTTTCAAATTTAAAAAAAATATATTAATATTATTTTTGGCATAAAAATGTGTTAAATCAATTCTATGAGATTTTTAATCATGTAAATGGCATAAAATGATGAAAAAAATTGAAATAACATTATCTAACCATCATACAAATTAATAATGAGGTTTTTTTGAAACAAATAAAAGTATGAGGCTAATTAAGCAATGAACCAATAAATCGGGGATGTTTAATTTTTTAGCGAAAATATTTTTTTTTTAAGGGACAAAAATTGCGTGGCCGTTGCTGATGACATTTTGGAAGATCCGAGAAGACAAAATAAATATGTGATGTTGAATCCAGTTTTCATTTTCTATTAATACCTCTTCATTGATCTTAATCCAATCAAAATCTGACACGTAGTCACACGGACACGTCAGCGATTAAGGGCTATATATGACGGACTTCTTATGGGTTAATTCCTCATCATATCATGTAGGCCCATTGGGCTTTTATATTCATGGGCTCAATGTCTTATTCAGTTGACGTCTACTGTGATCCACCATACACATCTCATTATAATAGGCTAAATTATCATAAATCGATGAACAATAAAATAGTTGATATGTAATTGTGAAACAAAAAGATTGGTTAATACCCAACACTATATTATTGATTAAAAATATTAACAGTTATATATATTTGACAAAATTATAAGGTGTGTATATATATACAGACACTAATTTATGGTTCAAATAATTACTATTAGTTTTTATAAGGAATGTATTCTCTCATCATGAGACTGTTGCAAACTAATGATTTTAACAGAAATTTCACATTCAATTTTAATGTAATGTCTACTGAAGTACTTTTTGTTTTAAAGTTAAATACAGTTGTTTAAACTGAAAACAGCTTTGACAATTCTAAATAAATAAATAAATAAAACTATTTGCACCAAATATATAAAGTTTTAAGATTATACAAAAAAAAAAGTATGGATTTGGAGGGATTCAAAATGTAACATGTGGGAATATTATAAGTTTTGAAAATTTGGTAAAATGGACAGGCAGTTTGCAAATGATTGAAGTAACACATATGGTTAGGTAGAAAAATAATTCTCAAAAATTGATGAATAATTATAATTATAATTATAATTTAATTAAACGGAAAAAAAAAATAAAGTAAAGGCAGCGTTAGATTGAAGCAAAGGAAGAAAGAGAAAAGGGGATAGAGCCTTTTGGTCGGGGACCGAACGAAACCAGCCGGACATTTAAATCCGTTATTAGGGGTGTCAAAACGAGCCCGGCTGGCTCGTGAGCTGGCTCATGGCTCGCCAGAAAACGAGCGATCTGAGCCGTAATTTTTTCAACTCGTTAAAAAACGAGCCTAACGAGCTAGAGCTCATTGAACACGTGTTCAATGAGCCTGACTCGGCGAGCTGGCGAGCTGCTCAACGAGTTGATATTTTTTTTTAAAAATAAATTAAATTTATATAAAAAACTCTAATATAATTTTATATTAATTTTTTTCATATCATTTATATGATATTATAAATATACTAATTATTATGATGGTGATAATTGAAAATATTAAATGATATTGGTGTTTTATTAAATTTTTATGTATTTATTTAAATTTATAATTATATTTAAAATAAATATAAATAAAAAATATTAGAGCCCAAAATGATCTGAGCTGGCTCGTTTGACACCCCTATCCGTTATCCGTGGGTAAGCGGGTATCCGGTTTCGTGGGTATCTGAAAAACGGGTATTCGACACTTAACGAAGACGAAAACGAGTATTAAAAACTAGAATACCCGTCATACGGGTTCAGGTTCGAGTTTTACATATTGAAATAACGGATACTCGCGGATACCTACATATATATTAAAATTACAAAATTAACCTTATGTTTTTAATATAATTTCGAAAATACTTAGGTTATTTTACTTACCTTTAGGATTATATATTGGATTTTAAAGTTTTGATGGATTCAACTTCAAATTATTGTATATTTTTTAAAATATTTTTAGGATTCTATGTATATTATTATATTTTAAGAATTTCCAAACTTAAAAATGTATTTTTGGAATAAAATATGTATATTTTTATTGATTATTTGATTTAATTTTATATTGTTTAATATTTTATATATGGATACGGGTATTCGCGGGTACTCATCTTTTAGTTATGGGTATCCGTTGGACGGGTACCCGAATGTTGTGAGATTGAGACAGAGATAACATTTCTCTAAAATCCGCGAAGACGAAAACGAAGACGGGTAAAACCAAAGCATGGACCGAGCATGTTTAGCCGAGCATGTAAATTTTAATATCGTAAACTATATAAGGACATATATATAATAGAAAATCTTGATTTAATTTTTTTAGCTTATACTTATAAAAATAATATTAATTACTACTTTATATATGTTCACGTACGTATCTTTGTACGTTATCTAAATATTTATGTACTATCATGTTACATTATGTTTTGGAAATATTGAATATGTGTATATATTCATATGGTCATGTTTAATTGTGAAATTATAGCCATCAAATTTGTAAATATGCCTATGTATCCCGTATCCATTGTACATAAGAATTCTTTCTAATATATATACACAAAGATTAAATTTGTGTTTTTGAACTATTTTTTATGGTGGAATTAAAATTCATGTCTGTATCATTTGGAATAAAAATTGTATCTGTGTATGGTTGAAACATGTTAAATTTTTATTTAGTAATGCAAATTTGTTTTTTTTTATTAGTAAATTTTTCAAAATCTGGATTCTTTTTTAATTATTAACTTTACAAAATTAGTATGTGTACAAATTTATTTAGTTTTTCTTTTTTCTTTTTATTCGAATATTTCAAATGGATATTTTACATTTCAAAATATATTATCTATGTAATATGTGTAATTTTATTTATTTTTTCTAATGAAAAGAATATTTTAAAAATTATTTGAATTATTTTTGAATTAATAATTAACTAAAAATGAGTGAGAACCACTTAAATTATTTAAAAAGTTATCAAATAATAATTTATATTATATATAGGTAATAATATAGGATATGTCGGTAGTTATCACTAATATGTTAATTTTTTATTTTAAATGTTGAATTTTTAATATAATTTAAGTTGTTTTGTGTAATTTTATGATATTTAAAGGGAATTAAATTTGTTAATAAAAAAAATATGTTGGAAGTGAAATTTGTTTGTGGTAAAAAAATACGACACCGTTTAATCAAGGGCAGCCGAAGCGGCAATATAGCAAAAATACTTTTACTTTGCTACAAAGACTTTATGGTATACCCTTCAAAACCCTAAAATTTTAGAAAAAAAAAATAAAAGGAACAAAAGACATAATTAACCCTCTCACAAAAGTAACGTGATACTTCTCTCTTCATTTTGAATTCATTTTTGACAACTCTTCATTTCTTTCTTAACTTTCTCTCTCCACTCTTATCTTTCTCTCAACTCTTCCATTTTTTCCCTTCTCATTTCATTTTTATACATAGAAAAACAAATTAAAAATGGTTATTTCGTTGAGCATATCTTCACCGACGACCTCATATCTTCTTCTTGAGTCGGTCTAAGTCAGAACAAATGACAAGAACTGAAGGTAAGTTCATTAATACAAGAGATTGGTTCGATACATAAACTTTGTGTTTTGGATTTGAGTTTTATGATTGTTAGAGTGAATCGTGTGGTTTTTTTATGAAAATGAGATAGATGCATAGCAAATCTGTCGAAGAATATGCAAGAGGCGCATATTTAATTTCAAATAAATGTTCGGAGCGATAATGGAACAGATTGACAACGAAAACAAAGGTACGTCACATTGGTTACGCCGTTTAAAATTTAATTTTGGTTACACTGGTCACACTAGTCACCCTGGTCACACCGTTCAAAATTTATTTTTGGTTACACTAGTCATATTGGTCACACTGGTCACACTAGTCACATTGGTCACATTGGTCACACTAGTCACATTGGTCACACTGGTCACACTAGTTACATTGGTCACACTGGTCACACCGTTCAAATTTTAGTTTTGGTCACACTAGTCATATTGGTCACACTGGTCACACTAGTCACTTGGTCACACTAGTCACACTGGTCACACCGAAAATTTTTAAAATTCACGCAAAAATATTTATTTTTTTATGATGGAGGGAGTTTTAAAAATTTTAAAATATTTAAATTTTTTCCTAGGAAATCGAAAACTGCTTTTCTCTCTCTCTTCTCATTAATGTTTCTATCATTGGGACCCACACCAATGGGTATTTTGGGAATAACATAATTATAAAGATATGTTTTGAAGTAGTTTTTTTTAATTTTTGCAGGGGTACGATGTGAAGTCTTTGTAGCATAATAGGGGTATTTTTGATAAAACCCCAGCCGAAGCCGACACAGAACGCCGCCGCCGAATACAGTAATCAGCGGCTTATCTCGCGATACTATTACGATATATAATATCGCGATATATAAAGGAGATATACGGTTTATACCAATACGTCTCGTGCGACACCAGCAAATAAAGGCAGGTGGAACATCTCTACTCTGTTCAGCAAGGAGTAGAGCTCTCTCTCTCTCTCTCTCTCTCTCTCTCTCTCTCTCTCTCTCTCTCTCCTGTCGCCATCCACCACAGGCGGATCTCCGATCGTCGTCGCATCGTCGCCGGAAAAAATGGTGAGGTTTTAAGCTACTCTTAACAGTGTCATCAGTGATCGATGATCTGTTGAATGTTCGTTATTTACTTTGGAATACGCGAAAATTTTCCAGACCATGAAATCCTTTGGAATCTTATGGCTGTTCTGCGATTTAGTTCTTCTCGATTATTTTATTTTGCTAGAAATTGGCTCTGCCTGGTGTTTGATCTCCTTGACGAATAGGAAACAATAAATCTTCTGTGAGTCGTATAATAGACTGCAGGGATCAAATAGAGGAGTTCGGGTCACTGTTTTATAATTTCTTCTTCTTCTAGAGTGTTGATTTTGTCAATCGAGGTATTTACCTTCGTTGCACTGGTGGAAGCTGAATGGTGCCCTGATTTTGGATGCCATGGTGAATCATCTCTCTGCCGTACAGATCTGATTCGCTGTGGCATTTATTGCATGTGCTTGTTATTGTGTGTTCTTCGTTATAGCATGATTTAGTTTTTTCCTTCATCTTTCATCTCCTCTTACGTCTCAACTGTTCCTTCTTCACCAGGAACTGGGAATCTATCTGGTTGTCTCTGTTCTTCCATGCATTTTCTTCTAGCTTCGTGGTATCTATCTGTTTTGATAGGATAAAAGAAATGTGTAAGAATCTATCCTGTAATCCTTGCATCCTAGAATCTGGTGGCAAATGGACAATTCCAGTTTGTGATCAATCTATGAAACTTACAATGAAATCGATTAACCAATGTTGTCCCAAAAAGAATTTTGACAAGAAACATAGTCCTAGGGAGAGTTAGCTGTTGATCTGGTTAGGACAGAGTTAGTTGTTGAGATCAGGAAGGAAAAAAGATCAAGGGACAAGAAAACGAGAGGAACTACTGTGTGATATAATTAATCTCTTATAGCTGCGATGTACATTGGGTTGCAGGCAAACGCGGTGTCTGGTATGGCTGTCCATGACGACTGTAAGCTAAAGTTTCTGGAGCTGAAGGCAAAAAGGATGCACCGTTTCATTGTCTTCAAGATCGAAGAGAAGCAGAAGCAAGTCATAGTTGAGAAGCTTGGTGATCCATCCCAAAGCTACGAGGATTTCTCTGCGAGCCTCCCTGCTGACGAATGCAGATACGCTGTCTATGATTTCGATTTCGTCACCGCTGAGAATTGCCAAAAGAGCAGGATCTTTTTCGTCGCATGGTACCCTCGCTTCTTCCATGTTCACTTTAACACACTGCAAACCGTTCAACTTCTGTCTTCATAAGTTGAAAGTCCTGGTCGGTTTAAACCCATGAATTAGTAAGTAGGTAAACATGATATAACTACAAATAATATATATATATATATACACCTGTATAGGTTTAGAACAGAAGATGTATATATATATATATAGCTGGTGGTTTTAACTCATGACTTAGCCGCTAGGTAAGCACGATATCATCGTTTCGTCGTTTGTGTGTTTTGAAGGTCACCAGACACATCAAGGGTGAGGAGCAAGATGATCTACGCGAGCTCGAAAGACAGGTTTAAGAGAGAACTGGACGGTATCCAAGTGGAATTGCAAGCTACTGATCCGACCGAGATGGGTCTCGATGTTATCAGAAGTCGTGCCAATTGATAATATCCCTACATATATCTCTCGTAAGCATTTTTTTTCTCTCTCTCGGAAACTCTTCTCGGGTTGAATCATCAGTTGATGAAAAGCTCGGCCCAAATTTTACCGGAAAATCTTCATCATGTACAAGTTCATCAACTTTCTGCCACGCCTTCCTTGCATTAATCATCTTTGGAACATTCTTGTTATGTTTATTACTAGTGTTATTCATATATGCTCTGTTTAGGTATACCGTCACGTTCATGTTATTTCTGTACTAGTGTTTGCTTTGTGGTTTACGCAAAGTATTTGCGGTTGGTTCGTATGTTTTTAGATTTCAGTACGGAAAAAATATATCGTATTAGAGTTCGAATTGCGGCGGCCGGTGACGATCGTCTCCTTAACGGACGGAGGATCCCCTTCCGACCCGACAGAGAATTTTTCTTCTTCGCCGCTACTGAGCCAGATGCATTTTTTTCCTTGATCGTTGTTTCTCTCTCCTTCGTTAATAACTCGCATTTCCGCCCAAAATTGAGTGTTCAACCGGTGAAGCAAGGAGCAAAATTCATTTCCAATCATGTTTGAGTTTTTGGGGAATTGTATTGAGTGCCCCTCTTATTGCACCAACTATTTCATTTAAGGAAATAAAAATTTATTATAAAATGTGTAACCTTATATTATGTGCATATCTTCCCTCTATATAATATATATAGGTTGTCAATGGTAATAGTTTTTATTTTGATTTTTGATTTTAGTTTTTAGTTTTGGGTTTTTGATTTTTAGATTTTGGTTTTGGATTTTGTGTAAATCTAATAAAAATGAGTTTTTTTTAGTTTTTAGTTGATTTTTTATTTAAGTGGTTTTTCAAGTTTTTATAAAAATTACTTTTATAAAAAATTGACTGTAATTTTTTTTTAGATTTTAGATTTTAAAAACCCAAAAAACTCTTCCATTCAGCGCCATGCCATAGTCGAACGCATTTAACTAGTTCATTTGCTGGTCCGGTGAAAAACTGATGATAGAGGGAGACATTCGGTTCGATATCAATTTCTCTCGATAACCGAGACGAACCGCTTTACTAACGGTTTAGCTTCTCATAAAGCCTTTAACCGTGTCGGCCATTATCGTCGTGACTCGTGAGAGCGCTCAGATCGGATCTATTCGTGTCGGGTCAGATTGTTCGATCACCGGCGAGAATTTTCCCGGAGAAGGAGACGGCGATTCCCCGGTGAGTCAAACTTGGCGGAGACTGCTGATATATGTTCGTGGGTGAAACGGCTTTAGTGAGCTTGAAATGATGATCACAGGAGACAGAACACGAAGGAGAGTGCTCGCTTCTAAGGTACTGCTTCTGTCTCCAATTTCATCATCAGGGTTTCAGTGGCGTAATTGTTTTCATATTTAAGAGTAATTTGTCTTCATTGTGTTAATCTGCTTTTAGAGCACGAGGTAGAGCTTCCTTGGATGTTCATTCTGAATAGATCTTGCTAAATCTGAAGCTCAAAATTTTGTTTTTTAGTTCATCTGACATGGAGTATATGTATACAACTATACATACATACGAGGCTATCACCATATATTGTCCAAGAGGATTGAGTAGTCATCTTCTCTGTTACCTCTCTTGTGTCATTACAATTTCGATAAAACCCTAGAAAATTTACTGCAAATCTTGGGGAATAATGAGATGGGTAATGGCTATGGCTTCACAAAAGGTTCGGAACTCCTAAGATATCACACTCTTTTCAATATCACCATTGAAATTGAGTTGAGCTGATTATTCATGCATATTACATCAAACATTTATCCCCTCTACTGTTTTAGCATCTCCGCTTTGGATCACTAGGACAGAAACCTGTATGCCATGGTCAGATGATGCCAAGACATCACCCATAAATCCTAGTTCTTGTCCTTCCATTGGATGAGTTTCCAGTTCAGCGCCTGTTTCGGCCAGAGGTTTCTGTTGCTTTCCTATGATCAGTAGCTCGTAATCCTTGCTCCTTCCCGTTTCCTCTATAAACTGTCTTAAGTTTCCATCAACCACTCTCTGTTCACACTCTACTAAACCGTCACACCGTTTCTTAAACTCCGCCATTGCTGCTTCGTCCTTCTCCTGCATCATGAAATTTCGATATCAGATGTTACCTATATCGATATTTCTTTACGGAAAACAAAGGGTATGTGTGTGTTTTATGCTTAGATTTCTTGTTTTTCTCTAGTGTGGTCTCACCTTCTCGTGTTGCGGCGAACTGATGGAGCACTCGTCGGTAACCTTATCTTGGATTTGCAGAAGAGTTACTCTGGTCCTCGGGTGTTGAGCCATCTTCAACGCCGTCTTAAGAGCCGCCCTGTCGTCTGGTCCACCAATGAACACCACACCGACCCGCCTCTGCCCGCCATTGCTAGCCCCTTCTTCTACCTCGTGGCTCAGCCTCTGTCCAAACCCTCTGTCGACTAAAATCCCGACCGAGCATTTTGCATTCTCCATCACCCTCTGGTTAACTGCTCTCCATCCCGTCGCAAACCTACCCATCGGCATCCCTTCATCCCCATCTCTGCTCCAATGCCTATGAAACGGTAAGACTATCATCGACACCCTCTTATCTTCCGCCACATGGCATATATCCTCATGCATTGTCGGCAGGGACGATATGTCTTTCAGGTGGCGGATCCTGACCCTCTGGCTCTGGGTCCTGAGCTGCCCGTAAACACTGAACGCCGCTGCTATCTGATCCCGGGACGTGGCCCCGCCTTTGCAGAGCCGGTTTATGAACGGTAAGCCATTCCTCCTCGCTCGTTGGACCATTACGATCGATGATGGCCGATCCGTGAACTCGATCAAATGCATCACGTAGATTTTGAGCGATCGGTTTGCCGTCGGCGTCCCGAACGATTCGATGAGTCGGATGAGCGGAGGAACATCTCTAGGACCGCGAACACAGGCCAGGATCCGAAGCTCCTCCTCCACGTCTTCGTCGTCCTTCTGGCCGCCGCCGGAAATATTCCTTTGCGCTTTAGGGTTGGGAGAATTCAAGGGTTTGTATATGGCAACGACGACAGGGGTGGTTATGAAGGTGGTGAAGAGGGCCATGAGCACCAGAATTGCGAACATCTCGTCGTTCAGTACCTGTTTTCACAGTTTAAAAAAAAAAAACACTTGTTTATGTCTCATGTCATGTTTTGCCACAGGTTGATGTTTTTTTTTTTTTTTGTATTTATCGATACTGTCTAGTTGTTGTGCAACAAAAAAAAATCTAAATCTAGATTTTTTGTATAACGGAAGTCGGAAAATTGAAATTGAGAATCTAGCAAGACTTGGAACATTAGCCTCGGGGGTATGACTTTTGGGTTAGCGAATGAGTTTGAAGGTCCCACTCTTATTAATCATGTATATGATGTTGTAATCATACGTTAAGATCCACTTAATTTGGTGGTGGTGGTGGGGCCCAAACAATTGCATCAAATCATATGCGTAATTGCGTATGTTTGACTCAAAAAGTAATTTCATAAACGCATTCTCCAACTGGTTAAAAGGATACACACACACACATATATATATATATATATATATATATATATATGTGTGTGTGTATTTTGTCCACGATTATCCTATGAGAGATTATATATTCAAGAAAAGATTTTCTCATTACTTTTTACTAATTGATGAAAATAACATAATCTTAGTTTGGTGGTGGGGTCCAAACGTTGCTTCAAATCATATGCTTGTGACTCAAAAATGTAATTTCATAAACGCATCCTCCAATTGGCTATGTATGTACGCATGTATGTAACCCTAAATCCTACATCCATGTATGTATTCATGTATATACATATATGTATGTACGTACGAATTTCGTAAACAGAAAGAAAAAGGGTGTATACTTACTTTCTTCTCCCTTCCAATGTTGAGAACAACAAGCTCGACCAACCCTTTAGTGTTCATCAAAACGCCGAGCGTGAGGGACTCGCGAGCAGGGATGGTGCACATCATGGCCGTCAAGAACGTGCCCAGAATCTTCCCGGCGCAGGCCGTGGCTATGACCAGCGCCAATATCCCCCACGCCTCCGCCCCTCGGATCTTTGCCACGTCAGTCTTCAGACCGCTGGACGCGAAGTAGAGCGGGAGGAGCAGTACGGACACGAAATCCTCGATCCGCTCGATGAGCCGTTCGCTGAAGGAACCTCCCTTCGGGATGGTCAGGCCGAAGACGAAGGCTCCGAATATGGAGTGCAGGCCGATGACGTCAGTGATGAACCCTGACACCATCACTCCTGCTAGGGTTAAGCATATGCATGCCTCGTGGATCGACCCGTCCTGCTCCGACGAGCTCACCCTCGCCACCCATTTCATGGCCGGTCGGACCACGAACATCATGAACATGACGAATCCCATGCCCGACAGCAGTACCTGTGTGCATGTATAAGGGCAATAACGTAATTATATGGATCCAGTGTTAACTGATACAGGGTTTTCATTGATTTATTCACAACAAAACTTTTATAACGTATAATTTGATGGGAGGGAGGTCGAGTTATAAACATCGTAATTACACTTATCTTGGAGCGCAACCAAAAAATAGTAAAAAATTAGATGGATGTTTATGGTTAAATATGAACTAATATATAAAGATTTCTAAAATTAATGTGATCAAATTAAACCAAAACAATATAATATTATATAGTAATTACGTACCCAGATGGAGATCAAAGGGGAACCAGTGCCCTTGTGGTGGATCTGGTCGGAGGAGGAGCCACCGCCATGTCCGGGGAGAGCGACGGCGAGGGCGAGGAGGATCCATGCGGCGACGTCGTTGAACGCAGCGGCAGCCATGGCGGTCTGGCCCATGTGGGTGGTCAAGAGCTTGAGCTCGGCTAAGATACGGGCGAGCACAGGGAAAGCTGTGATGGAGAGAGCGACCCCCATGAAGACAAGGAACTGTCCGTACCCGACAGTCTCGTGGTGATGATGTGGATTGTTGACGGCGGTTCGGCGGAGGAGGAGAGAGATGGCGGCTCCGAAGACGAAAGGGAGAGAGATCCCGGCGACGGCTATGGTGAAAGCCTTCCGGCCGCTGCGGCGGAGGACGGCGAGGTCGAGCTCGAGGCCGACGAGGAAGAGGAAGAAGAGGAGACCGATGCTGGCGACTGATTCGAGTATGGGAGTGCTCCATGGAGGAAACACCAGTTTTAGAAACTCCTTGTTTCGTCCTAACGCCGACGGTCCTAATAATATCCCTCCCTAATCATCACACCCAACAACCTAAACATTACTACACTTGAAAACAACAACAACAACGAATAATAACAGATATATATATTGTATATGTATATGTATATGTATATATCAACACGTATACGAGATTTTGTTACGAATGGATTATTTAACGTACGAGGATCTCGGCGACGACTTTGGGCTGACGGAGGGGACGGAGGAGGAAGTCGAGGAAGCGGCTGGTGAAGAGCACGACCGCTGTCTGTACTATCAGCAGCGGAAATGCGTAGTTGAGTGGACTGTCCCCTTCCCACGCTCCATCCGACGCCGTTTTGATCTGCGTCTCGTTCACCGCCGCCACCATTTTCCCCCCCTAATTCCAATCCCCACGATGATTTTATTTGTTTATTTATTTATTTATTTTCTCTAATTTCGGGGGAGGGCAATGGCAGATGTGTTTGAGCATTGGAATGAGGTACCATGGCTTTTATAGACCAGAAATGGATTTGGTTCACAGATGCATTATTTTCGAGTTGGATTTAGAAAATTCGAATCCCCAAAAAAAAAAACGGGCCAAAAAAAATTATTTTTTATTTTATTTTTCAATATTTTATTATATTTAATATAATATTTTATTATCATTTTTTATTTGGACCGAGACATATTTTTTTTTTGTTTATAAAAAATGAATCGCAATGAACTGATTTTTTCTTCTCTCTAACTATTTGTATCTTTCTTTTAAAATTTTAAAATTCTAATGAATCCTATATAGTTGGAGGTGTACGGACGAATGCCTTTCTTTGTCAGTACAAAGGAAAACTTATCCGAATATATATATATATATATATATATTCCATGTGTTTTCACAAATGGGCATCCAATTAAATTTAAAAAATAAACTTTATCATAGTGCTTACAAGTTACAACAGTAGCAAAACATTATATTCTTCGATTTTATTCTTATAATTTATTTTTTTCATCAAACGAATATAAAGTAGTTTTATTCTATAAATTAATATATATTTTGGATCCAATCAAAAACAAATTCAACAACCCAATTGGAAACGCCAACCCTAATCACATATATATATATATATATATATAAAGAAAAACAGATGGCCAGCAAAATAAATTTTAAACAGTGTTAAATCTTTCATGGTATGTGTTTAAAATAACCCCACCGCGTTTGTGGGTGAATGGGTGGTGGAATCAACATACAATATGCACTACCCACTACACGGCAAAAAAACGTTCATCATTTCTTTGCATTAGTCCAATGATATCAGACAAATTTGTTTTCGTTATTCGTTTTTTTTTATTATTATTATTATATCGGTCGGCCCGCCTTTGTGTTTTATCCGTGGTCCATGATTAGCCACGTGTCAAACTCGTGAGATTAAAAAAAAAACACGTGATTTTTTTTTTTTTGCGTTATCTCCAATACAAATGCTTCATCCAATTTTAATGATAACTCTGGCCATATTCACTTAAATTTAGATATCTCGAGATTTATAATATGTATAAGTTTATTTTTGGACCTTTAAATTTTAAATTCGAATGGTGGGTCATGATCATAGGATTCTTCCACAGTGAAGAGAGCAGAAGCCATATGCTATTCATGAGCACAAACACATTTAAAGGTTGTTGTCGTTGTTGATGATGATGATAACTAATAATCTTTTTTCTAATCTGTAATCTATAATTTATTTAATTTTTTAATAGCGAGCAACGTGCGTTCTAGGTTAGATAATGTCGCGCAACAAATAAAAAAACAACCACTTACCTCAACGCTATGATTAATTATGGATTTATATATCTTTTTTTTTCATTTTTAAAATTTTTCTTTGATTGATGGAAGTGATGTGAAAAAAGTATCTATAGTATATTTATATATCCATATTTTTAATAGTAAAATAATTCCTTTTTAAAAGTAATTTTTTTCAAATTAATCTCCCATTCCCAATTTCCCATTTAGTTCTAATTCAATTGTTATTAATAAAACATTTCTATTAAAAGCACCGATTTATTTACTACCTTAATATAACGGTTGAATACGATTACTAAAAGAAATAATACTTTATAATATATTCAAATGGGTTCACGGGAATGGAAAACTTGAGCGAAGATATAATAAAAGAGAGTAAAAACTGAATAGAGAGACTTGTCTCGGACAAAAACAGAACTAAGTGAAGTCAGATGCTTGAAGTTAAACATAGACAACAAAACGACAGAATGTTCCAAATGACAATCTCTGAAAATAGCAACCGACTCGTTTTACTTCTTCTTCTCCGATACACCGCCGGCCCTGCATATTTACCAAACAACACAAATCATCAAGTTTCTGTCTTGAATCCAAGAACATCATGTTCCGAGATCTAGCTAGTGTTTCGCAATGAAACGATCGTAAAAACTTATCAGTTCATGTAATCTCGATCAAGATTCAAGAGAGGTGAGATTTTCCTCTCTTTCGAGATCTTACCAAACAAACCAAGAGACAATGGCATAACCCGCCTAGAGGGAAGAAGGGAACCCGCCGAGCAAAATAAACAGCTCGACGGAAACTTTATGAAGCAAGAAACCGATCAAAAGGATGAAACAGATTAGAGATCTCGGGATTACCTCATCTTGCGGAGGACGTTGGACATCTCCTCTCTCTTCCTCTTGGCTCTTTTGTGGGTACCCAACTTTCTCTTGGCAACCTTAAGAGCACGCTTGTCTTTACCAACCTTCAACAGCTCGGTGATTCTCTTCTCATATGGAGCAAACCCGGCAACCTCTCTGATCAGAGATCGGATAAAAAGGGTTCTCTTGCTCGTTTTCTGCACATTCAATTCACGATACCGCAATCAGATACAAAAAATTCAAGAATAATCTGATCATATACATGCGACCTGTGAAAACATGTACCGCAAGAGAAGACACTTCTCGGCTGCAAACTCGATATTGGCAAAGATAGAATAATAAAGATGCATATTTCAAGACTAGCCATTAAATAATAGGACAGAATCAAAACAGAGCAAACCAAAACTGAGCTTCAATATCAAAGTTCACACATCCAAATTCCAACGGATATTTAATCACAAAAAAGGAAAGAACAATCAACTATTCTGCAAATGATCATTGAACACATCTCTAAGCATATCCACAAACTTTAAACTATTGTATCCAACAACAAGTATCCAAAAAAAACAGCTTTCAGGCTACAACCCCATCAAACCCAATACAGATTACAGATTCAGACTTATAATAGATGCGCAAAATAACAAGTCACTGCACATCAAAGCCACGACTAAGCATTCTTCCGCAATCTAGAGAGCCAAAACGACACTAAACTCAAATCCACTATCACGCTGTCCGGAAAACCAAACTCTTCAGGGTGGGGAAAATGCAATAGAGAAGGCAGAATATACCCCTTTTCGAGAAGAGGGACGAGGAGCCAACTCTCGTCTGGTGACGACATGTCCCTTGTTTAACCCAACGAACAATCCGCTCTTAGCTTGTGGAGCAGCCATCTTCTGCAGTACATCGACCATTCAAGATGAAGTTAGAATTGATAAAAGAGACGACACGGCAAGACCCATTTCCGAAACTGGAACAAGAAACGATTTTGATCACGACCCAGATACAAGAGTGTCGGATCTGAAGGCTACCTTGTCTCGGATCGACCTCCCGGGGTTCCTGCGATGGAGAAGCAGCCGCAGCAAAGATACGAAGGCTGGTGAAGAATTTTATATAGTACAGCCACAAGAGAGGGAGAGAGAGAAACCCTAGCTGCGATTTTCAAAGAAGTGATTCGCTTTTGGGCTTTTAATGGGCTGTGGATTTCTATCTCTTGAGGGCTGTCTTAATGGGCCCAATGATATGGCCCAAAATAATTACATGGGCATGCAGCCCATCCTTTCAAAAGCTTTTCAATGATATTATAATATTAATACCCTCAAAATTCTCTTTTATTTTTAAAAAGAAAAAATCGCATGGGAATGAGTATTACTATGTCAAGAAGTTGTTTTTGTTAATCAAATAATAGCAATATTTTTCCTTTTGTGTTTTATTCAAAAGGAATAGTATTATGTTCTAATATCATATCAACTTATAAGACAACACTGTTATTTTAATTTTAGTTAATTAATCCAACTTGATTTATATATATAAAATCATAGTTTTATTTCAGTAAAATGTTAATCTTCAAAATAAAAAATTAAATTTAAATAACAATTACATAGATATATAAATTCCAATATAAATTTTCTGCAGTTTCCAATTTATTCTAAAAGAATTATCTACAACTTTGTAAAATAATATGGATTGTGATGGAGTTACCTAATATGATACTTGAATCATTAGTCTTTTATATTTAATCATACAAATTGAATATATATATATATATATATGAAGGGGAGTCTTGGAGCACAGGTTAAGGTGTTGCCATTGTGTGATCTAGAGGTCACGGGTTCGAGTCCTGTAAGCAGTCTCTTACAGATATTTCTGCAGGGTAAGGTTTGCCTATAATACACCCTTGTGGTGGGACTCTTCCTCGGACCCCCGCTCAACGGGAATGCTTTGTGCATCGGGCTGTCCTTTATATATATATATATATATAGGTATATCAAGCAACAGACAATTCATGGACGACGCAACATCACAAAACACAGAATCTTATATCAACTTGTGAGAATATCATATAACCATAGGATGATGTTCAAGTAGAGCACTTACTCTTTTTGTTCAGTTTTCAACAGGTCAAGAGATTAGACTAATCCCATGTGATTATGGATATAGTATTGTGCATGAACGATAATTAAGGTGTTAAACTGTGTATGTTTATATAGTTTCTTTATATATATATATATATAAGTAAAAAATCTGAAAGTGAAAAGAGAAAGAAAAGGAAGAAGCTAAGCATTTAGTCAATCAGTCAGCCTCAATAGGCTTTTCGAAATTCTTGTTTCGATGTTACTTTTTAAGTGAAAAAAAAAGAAAAAAGAAAATAAAAAACTCAGCAATCTCTTCTGTATTCTTCGTGTTTCATCTTTTGTTTATTCGTCTAACCTTTACGATATCATCTTCGTCCAATGTGCTGCAAATGTTTTCTTCCAAACCCTCGAAAAAACATTTAAAAAATATAAACTTTTGGTATGAATTATATCATAAGGTGGAGAAACAAAATGTTTTAGTTGATTATATCATAAAAAGTCATTTTTCATTAGAAACATAGTTTTGTAATTATAACATTCTTTGTTTGTCTTTCAAAATCCGAAAGATTATAAGCGTCCTGTAAATGATTATATAGTCAACAACAATAACAAAATATTGATATTTAGGGATGGATTGTTGAAATTAATTTTTTGTCCTCGTTACAAAAAATTTAAAATGAAAATAAAAACTACAATAGAAGCATCAAAATTAAACCGAGTATTTTTTTTTAAAAAAAAGATAATCAAAGAGAGTGGTGTTAACTGTTACACAAAATAATCATCGTAACAAATCAAACAAGTTTTCTCCATTAACATCATACGATCACTTTAAAAAAAGTTTTTTTTTATCTGTCTCCTACTTTTTTTTCCATCTTCATCATCCTTGTGCTTCGTTGCAAATCTGTCAAGAGCGGGTTGATGATATCTTCCGGCAAAAAATCAAGGCGTCTCCGGCAAGACCCTCTTTTACGACCGGAAATATCCGACAGCTCCGGTCTCTGCTTCCTCGGCGCCGCCGGACATTCTGTGATCTCCGGCACTCTGTTTTCCGGACGAGTCGGCGTCTTGAAACCGCCGTCCTCGTCATCTTCAGATTCTCGACGGACATTATCATCTTCTTCTGATCTTTTCCGTTTCCGGAAATTTTCGAACATGGGTTTGTCGGAAACTTCATCTGCTCTGTCGTCATCACTCTTGCTCCCCGATTCTTCATCCCGGCGACCATTCTCCGGCGATGAAACCTTGCAAGTTACCAGTTGCTCGCTCCGAATAGTTTCCGACATACCCAGAATCTAAAAACCTAGAAAACCAGAGAACGATGAACCGAGAAGCCTCTGGTTCAAGTGTTCTTTCCAAGAGATCAGAGAGAGAGAGGGAGAGAGAGAGAGAGAGAGTCACAAGAGCAGAAGAGGAAGAAGAAGAAGAATGAGAAGATTGATGTGATAGATCCAACGTGGGATGGAATATTATTAATCATTAAAAATGGAAGCTTTCCTTTTTATTTTTCATTGCTTCAGTTTTTTTTTTGTAGAGAGAGAGAGTGGGAGAGACGGAGGTTGGACTTGGAGCGAGTTTTTGTGTTCGTTGGGCAACCGAGTAGGCTTCAAAGCCTCTAACTCATGTAGAGGGATGACGTCATAAGTTTAATATATCGGCGATATGAGATATCGTATATCGTATCGCCGATGCCTTTCTGCTTCTCGCAAGCAAGCACCAACCGGCGTCTGACTTTACGTTTCCCAATTACATGTGCGCTTTTTTAATTAAGTTTAAACATATTGATGCCTTTGATTTATTCCCACCTAATTACTCTTGGATTCTCATCCACTGTACTTATCACCAGAAAATTCTTAACTTTTAAAAGATTATTATAAAATTAATTTTAAACTTTCCAAATAAATACATGCACTATTTCAATCCTATATTAACAAAAAAAAACCACTACATGAGTAAAAAAAATGAATCACAGCTTATCAAATTGATATATAAACTCTTTTTAAAGTCGAAACTAACATAATTTTTTTTTATTGAATTTTAGTTTTCAAACATAAGATAATAATTTTATTATTATTGTTGATCAAATAAATTTAAACCGATAATCATTTTAAAATCTGAGATTATCCTTTTGTTTTAACAAAACTTATAACTAACAAATCTGAAATGATTAGGACATTAATATTATATAAACTGTCTACCATTTCTAATATGACTATATTATAATAATCAATACATCTAAATAACAAGAAAAATAGTTATAATAATGTGATAAAAAAAAGGTGCATGGAATACTAATCATCGTACCAAATTAAATATTCTTCAAAAAATGTACACGCTAACCGTCATATATATTAGAATACCATTTTAGACGTATATATATAAATTAAAATCGTTAATAAACATATAAAATACGACGATAGTAGTATTGACTCAATGTTGATTTAGACGTGTATATATTAATTATGAGCGTAATATAATTATAAGCATATATATATAATATTTTATATTGTATTGCAAAAAGGTGATCGTTAAATATATAAACTTTTTCGAACCAAGAGGTTTAGTACAATAGGTGTTTAAACTTATAATATGATATTGTTATGTTAATATTAGTTAATATATTCCTAATACGTGATTAATTAAGAAAGTTAAATTGTGTAGTAAATGAATATATTCCTTGACTGGTCACCAAACATGAACAACCCTAATGCATTCAATATACATAGTAACGTTTAATTAATTTAAAGATAATTACTAATTAACTAATTAATTCCTCAAGTAATTAAAAGTTTTGAGTAAATAAATATCTTCTTGACTGATGACCAAACATGAACCACCCTTATACATTTACATAATAACGCTTAATTAATAAAAGGTAATGACTACTAAATCATAATTATGATAACGACTACTAAATCATAATTAGTATGCAATTAAAGGTGAGATGGGGATACGCCACCAGTCCTTTCGCTTTCAATTTTATCGAATTATCAAATCTCTTTTTTCCTTATATATATATATAATTTTAGAAACTTCGGATTCCTTTTGCGGAAAATGCATGAAGGTAATTAACCTACATATATACATATATATACACGTATCCATATATGCATATATGTCGCAGCCTCGCAGACAAAAGTATCAAAGAGAATCGAATGGACATGATTGTATGGTCGTGAAGGCGGCGGATCACATCACATGGACCGTTTTTAATATCTTCATGTTTTCATTACCATATGTTATACTTGTACATGGACCTCCTATTCGACACCCTACCCCCCACTGGTAGTATACGTTGCAATATTTATCTCCATTTGATTCGATTATTTCTGTAAAATACGTTTTATATATCGGTTTAAAATATTTTATAACATGTGTGCACCTTCATGCATAGGATCACCAAATTACAAGAATATATATTGAACTTTGTTTTCTTCTTTAGCAATTGTGTCACCTAATCTTGGATCCTATTCGTAATATTCTAACCACGAATCTCAAATATAGTCCAAAATCCATTGTGTATATGATTCTATTTAAAATATATTAATTAAACCCAAATCAAACAAACGGCATTTATTTTTAAACAGATAACACGTTTAAATAAAAATCAAATTCAAATACAAAAATAGTTAAACCAAAATTAAATATAAAATTCAAATATTATAAAAGCATGCCGATGTATAAACGTGTGTGACGACTTTTCGAGAGAAGAGAAAAAAGCTGACAGATTTTCATTCAGCCCCTACGCACCAAAAAGAGACAACATTGGCTTTCCATTTTGGACCACTCGTTGCATGCAATCATGGAAATCCCCATGCATCTTCATCTAAATTATATTTGAATGTTACGTTGACAAGATTCCATTACATATAACGAGTATATGTCTACGTGGATTTTTTTGCCATCGATTTAAGGAATACAATATCAACTATGTCTATATTTCGTTTTTAAAGCATGTTCCACATGATGATGATGATGGTGATGCTATTTCACGATTGCGGCTAACTAGGATTTATATACGAGTGAATGTCTATATAAAAAATAAATAGAATAATATTTTGAATAACGTGTAATTTATAATCATATTTGGATCAAACCAGATTTAAAGATGGATTATGTTTTTAGCAAACTAAATAGATTTGATATAAAAATAAAAAAGAATTCGAACGAGAAAACAAAATATCTTTGGCAAAGAATATTTCTTTTATTAAAAATTAAAGCCAAACAAATTGAAGCGAAACAAAAATTAGAAAGAAAAACTGAATAAATATAAATTTATAAAATTGAAACGAAATCTCATATATCCGTTTTATAAATGAATTAATAGGTACTATTAGTAGTATTTCATATTTTTTTAAATTTATAGAAAAATAAAAAACATGAAATACGTAGGATTCATGAATATTGCTCGGGTATCTAGCTTTCTTGTGAATATGCGATATATAAATGTGGAACTTTTGTAAATGAGAAGAGTTGTACCCACAAGATGCCAACGATGCTTTTAATTCTGTAATATATATATATATATAGTACATTATTCAAAGCAGCTGAGTGCATTATTCAAACTCAGCTTATTACTTCTATTGCAGTTCAAGAAAAAGGCCAAACAGATGAGACATAAATGACTCAGATTATTACTGTTACTATTTTGTATTTTGACATATATATATATATATATATACCACATACAAACACATATATAAATGTATTATGTATATATATATATATATAGAATTGGAGTTATTGAAGACAATATTGAAGCTTCATCACAGAAAGAAAGGAATTGCATTACCCGAATTTGGAATGCCATTAAATTGGTCGATTTTGTAGTTTTGTAATTAAATATTTTGTTTTCCATAATCACACAAGCTTTGGATTAAGAGAAGGTGGACTTACAGAATGAACTACAAGACAAAAAGGACATGTTGTAGTATTAGGAAATAAATTCCATTTACCATCCAATTCCAAAGCCCACCTCTGTGGTAATCGCGGTGGAAATTTCAGTTTGGTTTATATTTTCTTGATAATAAGTAAATTTTATATTGGTTTTCGGTTCAAATTTGTGTTTATGAAAAAATATTGATGTCTAGAAATATGGTTTTTTCGTCCGATATTTTTTTTTTCAAATTCGATCTAAATTTGATTTTAGAAAACGACGTGCTATAGTTTTTATATGGAATTCGATTACATGTTATTCTAGTTGATTTTATTTATAAAAAATGAATATCCTATCCAATATCTCAAATGTCATAACAATTTCAAATATCAATAAAACCTTCCAAGTGTCTTTAATATAAAAAAAAAACCACTTAAAAAGTTAAACTAACCTGGGTTGAGAGGAAGTGCGCAATTTAATTGTGGTATAAAAGCCGTTTTAAAATCTTGGGAGATGTAGTTGGATCTAATTTGAGTAAATTTCAGTTATTAAAAAAAAAGGTAATCGAACTAAAAATAGATTCATATAAATATTAATTAATCATATATCTTTTTAAAAATAATCATAAAGTATAATTTTTTTTTTAAAATGAAATAATTTTTAAAAGATGAACTTAATCGATATAAAGAACAAATATAATCAATCAACAAAATAATAAGCAAATTCTCAAATAACCTTGTTAAATCAATATTTTTTTAAATAATATATGTAATATGTCACTCGTATCCAATATATGCTATTTGAATATTTAGATTTATATATTTCATTATATACTGATCATTTCGTACTTGATTATATTTCATATTTCGTTTGTACTATAAACCTGCATGAATATAATTTGGTTGAACGTCGCATTCAATATATATATAAAGGGGAAAACAAAGTTGGTTAGGTGTAACGTTCAACTCTATTAGCCAGCCACACACCAAAACCTCTTACTAAATTTGCTCTTATCATAAATAAAATAAATTTATTTACCTCCTTGATTAAATTTGTTTTTTGATAATAGGTTGGACACGGGTCGGGTACCCGCGTTTTTTGAAGATACCCGTCTTCGTTTTCGTCTTCGCGGGTTTTAGAGAAATGTTATCTCTATCTCTATCTCACAACATCTGGGTACCCGTCCAACGAGTACCCATAACTAAAAGACGGGTACCCACGAGTGCCCGTACCCGTATATAAAATATTAAACAATAGAAAATTAAATCAAATAATCAATAAAAATATACATATTTTATTTAAAAAATACATTTTAAAATTTGAGAATTCTTAAAATATAATAATATGCATAGAATCCTAGAAACATTTTAAAAAATATACAATAATTTGAAGTTGAATCCATCAAAACTTGAAAATTCAATATATAATCCTAAAAGTAAGTAAAATAATCTAAGTATTTTCGAAATTATATTAAAAACATAAGGTTAATTTTGTAATTTTAATATATATGCGGGTACCCGTTATTTCAATATGTAAAATCCGAATCCGAATCCGTATGACGGGTATTCTAGTTTTTAATACTCGTTTTCGTCTTCGTTAGGTGTCGAGTACCCATTTTTCGGGTACCCACAAGACCAGGTATCCGCTTAACCGTGGGTAACGGATTTAAATGGCCAACCCTACTTGATAACACTGTTTGATCAAAATTTCAAATATTAAGCTTAATTTTCTTATAACTTATTGATTCGTGGAATTGTACTTGGAGATTATAAATAAAAATTATTTTGAATTTTAAAAAAATTCCATGAATTGAAACAAAACAAAACATTCCTAGAAAAATGCCAATTTTGTAATCGTATTCATATCACATAGGAAAGTATTGATAACAACATAAAAAATAATTATATTGATTTCATAGGATAAATAAAACTAAAATAATATTTTTAATTTTTTTCTATAAATTAATTTAAATAATTAAACTAGTTTTAACAATATTAAAAACATCGTTATTTAATACTACTAAATATGTAAATTAGACTGTAAAAATACTGATGTTGTTTCAGAACTCAAACGGGCCGAAGGGAAATCTATAATGGACCAATTATGATTATAGGCTTATGCTAATCCCACGAAGGCCCATTTATGTATGCTTTAAATATGAGCTTATAATTTCATCGTATGCTTGCTAAGGTTGAATTCGAATAGAAATGTAGACTTTATTCATTATTTTCAATTTACCTTAAGAGTTTTATCGAGTTGCAAGAATTTATTTTTTTTTAAAAAAATATTTTTTAATCATTTTATATATGTTTGTTCTATATCTAACATTTGAACAATATATGTTTTAATTATTTTTTTAAGGCGTTGATTTATTTATGATTTGTGTTCTATAACTAGATTTTGGAATCTATCCAGCTGTATGAATATGGATAAAGATGACCACAAAAGTATGATTAAAACTTAAAATGAACTTGATTTCCATATTTTCAATAATTCTACTTTATTTTCAATAATTCTACTTTTTTATTTAATTCAGTTTATTTTTCCAAAAATTTCATGCTGAGAAAATTTTAAATATCTCTGGCATTTCTAATTTTTAATAATTTATACTTTTGGTTGATATTAGAGTTAGACTAATTCCTAATAATTAATTGTGTGTATATTTATATATAATTGATGTATCACATTTTTCAGATAAAAATAAAGATGGGCTTCTGAAATTCTATTTTTTTAATCTGTGAATAAATAATATTCACCCGAATTTCGTCCCAGTTTAAGAATATATTAGAATAATATCAACCCGATTTTTGATAAAAATAAATATTAATTATTATTGTAAAAATAAATATAATTATTTGAAATATTGTAGTTAGTATGGAGCTCACCAAAACCTTCAAATCTTATTAATTATCATGCAGCTTCATCAAATTACTTTAATCATATATAAGTTTAATTTAAATATAATTCTATTTAATTTGACGCAGATTTCAGATCTCACCCATTGTAATTGTATCCAGAAAAATCTATATATTATATTAAGGGGTAAAAAAGTTAAAAAAAAATATTAAAATTAAAGCTGCTTTGGTAATTGATTACTGTAACTAAAGCCTCACCTGAAGGGCGGAAACCTAATCTGGCCGGCTAATCATCACAGAGAGGCAAAAAGCATTGAGGGGCAAAAGTGTCATTTCGGTTGCCATAGAATCGGAAAACGAGGTCAGCCGATTTCGAAGCCTTTGGACCCGTTTTTATTTACTCTCCCATCTCTTTAGCCTCGTCTCGCTTCATCCATCTCTCTCCATTGTCGTTTCTACCTCCTTCGTAGAGCTAAATTATTGGGGTTCCTCCGTCTCCGGGAAAGGTCTCGTCTTTTGCTCTCGATCTCCGGTAAAATTCGGCTTCTCTCGTGTGCCTTTCGATCTGGTTTTCGTCATGTTTCTACATTGATGGGATTGACAGTGTCATTTCGCTTCGTATTTCGTGATTTTCTTTCTGGGTTTTCGTTTTTCTGGCTTTGTGTCACTGGGCTGATGATGATATTGCGTTGGATTGATTGATCGGGTAAACTCAAAACCCCAAAACGTGTTCTTCGATCTGGGTTTGTTGGTTATTCAATCGCTCGCTGTTCGTCGATCGATATTTACTAAAATCTAGTGTTGTTGAAGCGTATCTGTGATGTTTTCTGCTGGGTTGTTGAATTATCATTTTTTCTGGTTAATGTTGCTTAGTTTCATAACATCGAATCTGTAATGTGATTCTGGATCTGGAATATTCGTCCTTCCTTCCTCTATGTTATATTTAGGTTTGAGTTTTCTTCCTTGGATGTCTCTTATCTTCGGTGCGTTCAAAATGATTCTTTTTTTGCTATTTTACAATTTTATTGTTTAGACATGTTCAATGTGATGCTGTTTATGGTGCCAGATTTTTCTATTATAATCTATTTCATATTCGGTTTCTGATTATCTTCTCAGAAAGTAGAAAATGGCTGACGGTGAGGATATCCAGCCTCTTGTTTGCGACAATGGAACTGGAATGGTTAAGGTAAGTTTTGATCTTCAACTTTTGGTATTTCAGTCTTCTTTTCCCTTTCTTAGGCTACATTGCTGAATCTGAAATGTATTCACGAATGGGATCTGAAATGAAAAACCGTGTACCATTCTGTGGCGAACACCTACATTGATCCAAGACAGGAACGTCACATTTAACCATCGAGATTACGGCTTTTGCACTGTGTATAATGGCTAGTTTGCCACATCACATTCATGTTTTGTGTTATTGCATAGGCTGGTTTTGCTGGGGATGATGCGCCAAGGGCTGTGTTTCCCAGCATTGTGGGCCGTCCTCGTCATACCGGGGTGATGGTGGGAATGGGACAGAAGGATGCTTATGTCGGGGATGAAGCTCAATCCAAGCGTGGTATTTTAACACTAAAGTACCCGATCGAGCACGGGATTGTCAGTAACTGGGATGATATGGAGAAGATTTGGCACCACACTTTCTACAACGAGCTTCGTGTTGCTCCCGAGGAACATCCCATTCTTCTCACCGAAGCACCTCTCAACCCGAAGGCTAACCGTGAGAAGATGACCCAGATCATGTTCGAGACTTTCAATGCCCCGGCCATGTACGTGGCCATCCAGGCCGTTCTTTCCCTTTACGCCAGTGGTCGTACTACTGGTGAGTGTGGGCCTTTTGCTCTTATTATATCACATGAAGCTCGATTTCTTTAACATTTGAACTTTCGAGAAATTCTTGTGCCTTGTTGTGAATTTGCTAAGTTATGAGCGATGTGCAGGTATTGTGCTCGACTCTGGAGATGGTGTTAGCCACACTGTCCCTATCTACGAGGGCTATGCACTTCCCCATGCCATCCTACGTCTCGACCTTGCCGGTCGTGACCTGACCGATGCTCTGATGAAAATCCTCACTGAGCGTGGTTACTCTTTCACCACAACGGCCGAGCGTGAAATCGTCAGAGACATAAAGGAGAAGCTCAGCTACATTGCCCTTGACTACGAGCAGGAGCTGGAGACTGCCAAAACCAGCTCTGCGGTGGAGAAGAACTACGAGCTTCCCGACGGGCAGGTGATAACTATCGGTTCTGAGAGGTTCCGCTGCCCGGAGGTTCTTTTCCAGCCGTCTATGATCGGTATGGAAGCTGCTGGTATTCATGAAACCACTTACAACTCCATAATGAAGTGTGATGTCGATATCAGAAAGGACTTGTATGGTAACATTGTGCTCAGCGGTGGAACCACCATGTTCCCGGGAATTGCTGACAGAATGAGCAAAGAGATCACGGCTCTGGCTCCGAGCAGCATGAAGATCAAAGTGGTTGCCCCTCCCGAAAGGAAATACTCTGTCTGGATCGGAGGGTCCATCTTGGCCTCCCTCAGTACCTTCCAGCAGGTATGGCCCCGACCCGACCAAATCCCTCCCTCCCTTTATCCGAAGCGTTCACCGTTTTTCGGGTTTTGCTGATTTGTAATTGTTTGCAGATGTGGATCGCAAAGGCGGAGTACGATGAGTCTGGCCCGTCAATTGTTCACCGGAAATGCTTCTGAGAGCTCAAAGTTGAACCCTTTTCAGATACGAAACGCTGTTTCTGGTTTATCCATTGCTGGGTTTATCTCCGTTTCCGCCTGCTCGTTGTCTTTTGTTCTTCCATCTTCTGAGATTCCGACCGAAATACTGTTTTTGAAGAACTTGTCTGTTTGTAGTATTTGTTAAAATCTTTGTCCTGTCCCTTCTTCTGTTTCTTAGTTCGATGAACACCTTCTCTGTTTGAGCCAATAAGGACTCCTCTTATCCTATGCAGTTTGTGGCATATAAACTTCCTTTTTTTTTTCCAGTGGTTTGTTTCTTTATTGATGAATAGATGGTGATTGGTATTTAAATTTTAAAATTTATTTACAGTTCAAATTTTTCCGTTTGTTTGTATTATTTTCTTGAACTAATCAAAGTTAAATTTGATAATTCTTTTTTTAGAATTATAATTATAATAATCCGAATATAAACATAGTTTTTTTTCGTCTAAATTTGATATTATGAAACTTCTCAAGGATTTGTTTTTTTTTTTCTCACTTTCATAATAATGGCAAAATGGTAAATTTGTAGGGGTGTGGCAATTGATGACGTGGCAAAATCACAAGGAGAGTAGAACTTATGGTCAAATACCAGTTTTACCCTCGCATTGAAAACAAAACCACGCACTACTAGTAGTAGTACTGCTATCTGGAAGTGGTGAATTCAGACAAGATTTTCTTTGCCCACTTCTTTCGTGTAAATTTTCAAACTTTTTCCCTGGATTTTCTCGGCGACCAAACAGGCCAATTTGGTGGTTTGAACTGGTTACTCGAGCCCAAGAGGCCTACGAAAGGGAAATTCCAGAGGGTACTTCCATATGAAATTTTCTGGCACTTTCCCGGCTGCCAAACAGCCGATGGATTGCGAAATGGGAGACAAACGAATCAAAGATCTTTAAAACCAGACTATTCACAACGTTTAGGCTATAGAGACAGTTAAAAAAAAAACCCTAAATTTAGAAGGAAAAAATAGGGGGAGAGAGAGAGTTAACAGAGGAAAGGTTCACCGACTAAAGACAGCATCTTCCTCTTTTTTTCACAAAGAGGGAAAAAAACCAAACCTTCTCTGACAGTGGCGCGTGGAATACGGCACGCGAGTGAGCGAGATTTTTCCTCTCGAAGTGACGTCACCGGGTCCGTGAGATGACGTTATCTCCGCGCCGAGAGAAAATGGTCCGGCCTGGGCTCTCGTCATTTTTAATGGGCTCCCCCTTGTCCGTCTAGAATGCGCCGTTTCTTTGGCTAAAATGCGCCTTCTTCGCGGACTTTTTTTCTGTCCTGAGCTGTTGTCACGTCACAGTTAAAGTAATAATTTCAAGGTTTTTTTATATTTTATTTAATATAAACTATATTTTTCTCGTCAGTGCAATCTATAAGATTTGAAAAAAGTATAGAAAAAGTGTTTTGTGTTGAGTTTATTATTATTATTATTATTATTATTATTATTATTATTATTTTTTAATCCGGAAGTTCACCGGGTCTTCGACCCGACTACATCTCTCAAAGGACCAGGGAAATCCATGTGAATACCCCTCCCCACTCTCAGGAATCGAACAGTCGACGTGAAGGTACATTGGTCCACACCCTAACCACTCGCTCAAACTAGGTTGGGTTGAAATTAGAGGTGTCAATAGAACCCGAAGCTCGAAGCCCGAAGTCCGAAACCCCCTCGAAAAATGAAGGGTTTGGGCCTAATAATATAGGCTCAGTAAATAAATAGACGGACCGGTCCGACCCGAAAAAAGTTAGGGCCGAATCGAGTCCGGTCCGAAATCCGTCCGACCCGCCCATTTAATCCAAAAAAATATTATATTATTTGATTTTTACTTTCATTTGAGATTTAATACCGCACAATATTATATAAAAACTTTTATTTGTATGTTTTATATATATATATAATTATATTTAAAGCAATTTGATTAATATATATTAAACTTATATTATATATATATATATGTATATATTTATATTTAGATATATTTTATGAATTTAACTTTGATTTTTAAATTCTATCTGAATATTTTTCTATATCCCGACGGGCAGGTGATAACTATCGGTTCTGAGAGGTTCCGCTGCCCGGAGGTTCTTTTCCAGCCGTCTATGATCGGTATGGAAGCTGCTGGTATTCATGAAACCACTTACAACTCCATAATGAAGTGTGATGTCGATATCAGAAAGGACTTGTATGGTAACATTGTGCTCAGCGGTGGAACCACCATGTTCCCGGGAATTGCTGACAGAATGAGCAAAGAGATCACGGCTCTGGCTCCGAGCAGCATGAAGATCAAAGTGGTTGCCCCTCCCGAAAGGAAATACTCTGTCTGGATCGGAGGGTCCATCTTGGCCTCCTTTTTTTTAATTATATTTGAGATGGACGAAAATTTGCTATTGTTTTTTTTAAATGGTTAAATTATTATTATTATTATATATTAATATTTATTTTTTATTAAATAGAAAAAACCCGAAACCCGACCCGAATCCGTCCGAAGTCCTATGGAGCCGGATTCCGGGAAACTGGTCATAAATCCGAAAAATAAATGGATGGATCGATCCGATCCAAAAAAATCTAAATCCGAACTAAGCCCGACCCGAATCCGATCTAGCCCACCCATTTTACACTCCTAGTTGAAGTGTATGTTATATTGTTGTACCATTACGACATGGAATAAATTTTGTATAGCATGTATGTGATGGTAGGAGTGACACGTGGCAAAATAGTGATGGGTAACTTTTCGAAAAGCCTGTGGAGATGTGGCCCCCAATCCTTAACCGTCTGCAAAATCTTTATTGTTCTTTCCAATCCCACTGCTTCTGCTGCGCAGGTTAGCACTCTTCCATTCAACCCCGCGCACGATAAAAATTCTTAAGCAAATTATATCATAATATGATCCTGCACTGCAATATTGCACTCCCTTAAAATTATAAAAGAGAAATATATTCACATGAAACTCGGGTTGAATGTTTAGAATATGTACATTTTGATTGGATTATTTTTTCTTTGGTTATTTCATTTTTTAAAAGATATTGTTTTAAAATTTAATTTTCAAATGGTTTAGATTTATTCAATTCCATTTGATTCGTCACTTAATGGAGAATATTTATTTTTTAATGTTTTTATATTCAATTAATTTAATTTTAAAAAATTGATATCGAATCAATTGACTTATAAAATTCAATTTAAATATAATTTAAAATATTAATGAACTCGTTTCTTAATTTTATTTTTAGTAACCACAAAGCAAGGGGACAAAATTTCAGGTTCACCAAGAAATATATTTGTATAGAACTCTCAAACATTAAAGAACTCATTTTTTTTAAAAAAAAAATTAGTAACCAGAAAAATTTTCCGGTTAGGTTTGGTGTTTTGTGGATTCATATTCGAAGTAAATCATAAAAAGCGTACCAGATAAGATATTGCTGTAAAAACGACACGTGGCATAATGTGGGTCCCGAAAAAGATGTGGGCCTAATGGGCCGTGGAATGGTCCGGGTTTCACGGCAATAAGCGACAGAAAGAGACGACGCAGTCCGTTCACGAGACCCCCTCGTGTCAGTGCCACGTGACATCCCTTTTTTTGGCCCATATTATAATTATTATTTATAAATCACAATAGAGACAAAACAAAACAAAAAAACCTCTGTTGCACCCAACACACCACTAATTTTTGGTACTCTTTTTATATATATATATATATTCATCGTCCAAAAAATTGTAACCGTAAAACGATTTTTACGGATTATGGGATTATATTATTGTTCGTAAAAATATGAACAAGTGCGGCCCAACATTTCTGCAACCCATTTGTTTCAATTTATAACCATTATTCCACTTGTACATATTTATTAATTTCGATTTGTAACCGTTATTTCACGTCTACATGTTTCGGTTTTTATACTAAGGAATCTAGTAGTATATGAACCAGACTTAAATGTCAAATTCGTGTTTTTTAAAATCAAATCTTAATATAAAAATCATTGAAAAATCTGAATTAAAATAGAATTATTTTTTATGAAATCGAAGTTCGAATCTTATTTTTTTATTTACCATTTGTTTTGGGTTATAAATTTTGCCAATGCAGCTAATAATTTTTAAGATAGTTGATTTAGCAGTTGGCAATTTTGGTCCAATCCGAGCACCTGAGAAACAGATAAAAATTGATAATAAAAATTTATTTTTAAAAATATAGTAGAACCAAGTTGCCCCTTGACAGCCCGGCGGGCGGGTCACAGGATATCCGACCCGACCCAAACGGAACACAAACTGTAACGGAACATTTCTAATCATTCTATAACTAACAGTTGAACAAAAAATTAAAAAAGCCTTTCAATCATATTGTAAACCCTAGAACCCGTACGGTTTGCACGGATCCCAAGCCTCCAGAATTTTCTCGAGAAAACAAAGGAAAACCCGGGGCCGGAAAACAACTTTCCTCTTCGGGGTATCGTTTAATTTCAATTTAAAAAAAAAGAGAAAGGGTCCGAATCCCAAATCATAAAAGTTTCGATCTTTTTTGCTCAGACGCGGAAGTTCTTGCCGGAGAACGTCTGACCGAACTGCCAGTTCGCCGGTGCGACGTTAAAGGAGGTGGAGGTGCGGCGGTCGGAGGCGGTGACGCGGAAGGAGAGAGACTGACCGACGAAGACAGCGTTGGATTGCCAGTTCTGTCCCCAGTTACGACTCATACTCATCCACGCCGTCTTCGATCCCTTTATGCTCGCTCTGACAACGTCTCCGGCACCGGCGACGTTCGTTATCAGTACCAGGTTGAAGTATCTGAATCCGTTTATCGTGAATCTTATACCTCCCTTCTTCCGACACGGTACCCTGCATTGATATTACAGATCCAGACTATGAAAACGAAATCGTGTTGTTTTTGTTTTTTCGTAAAAGAGAAAACGGATCTCTCTCACTGTGTTGATCCCCTGTTTGTTTCCCGAGAAAACGGTGGAAAATATCCCATATTTCAACAGTAGACAAAAAGGTACGAAAGAAGACAAAGAAAGAGACAGAAAGAGAGAACAGAACAGAACAGGAAAAGAGAACAGACCTGCGGAAGGAGACAGGGACAATGCCGGCACGATACTGAGCGATCTTGAGGAACATGGGCATGGCGAGATCGAAGTGCTGTCTCGGCGGATTGCACCATCCTCCGTCATCGCTCGGCTGAGCGAAATTCGGCGGACAGAAATTCGTCGCCGTCACGAAGATCGAAGGGTTTCCAGGGTTACACCACTTTGGATCTTCCGTACACTTTATCTCGAAGCAAGCTCCGCAGCTCAGGCCGTTGTTAAACAAGGCGGTGCTCAGAGCCGCCGTATTCACGCCGTAACCTTGACTGTACAGATTTCCGTACCCGCACGCGCCGCCTGAGTATTTCCCACGCGCCGCCACAGGAGAAAAATCAGACGATTTGTGTTTTGAGAGAGAGAGAGAGATAAGGGAAAAGGGCAAGAGTAGGAAAGATTACGTACCCATTGTGCCGGAGGCGTCGCTACCGCCATAGAAGGTGGCGTGAGCGCTCTGCCATGGACCGCCGGTGTAAACGCCGGGGATTCTTGCCGTCGCCGACGCCACCAGAAACGACGCCGTTATTGCCAAACTCAATCGAAACGTGATCGCAAACGCAAACGCTGCCATTGTGTGTGTTTGTGTGAGAGAGAGATGTAGTAGAGTAGAGTGAGATGAGGCGGACTGAAAGCGGGAAGGTGATGTGGTATTTATGGCGGCTTGAGGTTTATTTTAACCGCAGTAAAAGTTTTGTGGCTCTTTTATAATATTTACTAAGTTTAGGGCCAAAAGGTAGTTTTTCCAAATATTACTGTTTCGAATATAATCATATATAGATTATAATTTTTTTATAATTCGAAAATTCACATTCCGTTTGGCCCAACTATAAAGACATAAAAAAAAAGCAAAAGTTTTATTGACTAATTGTATTATAGTTTAATATTTCAATCATATAGTTTATATCTTATAACATAGCATGAAAAATGTCGATAAACAAAACTGCATATAAATATTAAATTATATATATATATATATATTCGTTCTGATTTAGTGAAGAATTTTTGTTGACTAACTGCATTGGACGTTAATATTATTCTTTCACAGGTCAAAAAGGAGGGATATCAACGAATCGATTACTTATGAATAATTAAATGGACCAGTAATATATTCTTAAGAAAATACGCCTGAGTTCTGATAATATACTTTTTCTAATCGAATTCTAATAATAATTTATTTATTTATTTAAATTAACGACATTTATGAAGATTCGCTTAATTTCATGACATGTTGACATCTGAAGATCGTGTAATAATATCTAGGATAAAGTTATTATATATTCTGAACAAAAAAGAAAATTGCAAGTTGGATTTAGAATATGTATGATAAGACGAAAATAACCCTTTGGGACAAAAGTAGATTCCCAATAAAACCGACTTGAAGGTTAATTAATTACCAGTGGGACCATTTCTTCTGCATTTTTTCCCTTTATTGGTGAAAAGAAAACCAATCAAAACGGTATTTGCAAAGGCATGCCGTCCGGATATTTACAAATGGACGATAAGAATAAAATATTTATAAATATTTATATGCAGTATATATCTTTTTTTTTGTTAAAATATATTTAGTATATATCGGTGACAATTAATTTAAAATTGCATTGTATTGTAAGATTCAAATTGTTGGGTTTAAGATTAAATATTCTCAAAATTTTGAAATATATGATAATGTTAAATGTCAAGTTTCTTCTGTAAATTATTAATTATATTTTTCTTGCTCGTATTTTTTATTTGTTATTGTTTAAAAAACTTAAAATCCATAAATTTTACTATGTAAATTGTATTTTTTTGGGGGATTAAATTATAGACCTGAAAAAATGATAACAATCCACCAATCTACGGACAGAGATTGACGGATGGGAGAGGCCGATTGGGAGTCGCACGTATTTAGATTTACATTTTTTTAATATTGAAAAATTACATATATTTTTATAGGTTTTAATGTATTAAATTATATTTTATTAACAAATTTATCGTTTAAAATAGATTATTTTTATATTCCATTTAAATTTAATTAATTTAATTTAAGAAAATATATTTAAAGAGCTTTTGAATCACATTTGGTGGGATACAATTACATTCATTTTAGTTCTATTTAACTTTATATATTCAAATCCAAAATTTTAAATTATTAATTGTCAAACAGTCAGCAATATATATATATATATATATATATATATATATGTGTGTATAATTCTGGAAAATGATTTTTTTCTTTTTAAAAAATTCAATGTAATCCGATTGAGCCACGTTCCCGCAGCATACACATTTTACATGTGGAGTATTAATTCCTTCAATATATGATTCTTCGAGGAATCAATGAAGAAATGCTATGGGTTTGAGGATATTGACGAGCCACGATAGATTCGTATCATATTGTTGTCATGGTACATATATATATATATATATGACCAATTGCGACTACATATATATATATATATAAGTGTGTAATTTCGCTATATAAATATTGTATATAATCTCGCAACCCCCACCATGTGCCTTCATTCAATGACCGTCCATCCTCCATGTTCCACGGTTGGGGAAAAAATAATAATATGTGATGCCAAGAAAGCTATCTGTAAAAAATGAAAATTTCGCTTATATTTCAATTTATCATATATGTTAAGTTTAATATTCATATATATTAATTTAAATGGGCGAGATTATACATTTATACTATAATATTGTTTCTATTATAACTCCAACAACCGGTCGTTTTTAATTTTCAAGAACATGAGCATGATATTAGTTATAAGAATAATACCAGCCTAATGTCAAATAAGTTCATTTTCAGTTGTTTATAGAAAAAATATGACGATCAACAGCAAAATAACTATGATGATTTTATCTACACCAATAATCATTAGAAATATGATATCTAGATTTCAAATAGCAACATGTTTGTCAATTTTTAAATTAAAGGAAAATTACTCAAATTAAAAATAGATTAAAAAATTATAAATAATTTGATAACAGTAAAACTTAATAAGCTATTTTATCAATTTTGTTTTGGAAAATTATGCGAACCAGCTTTTTTTTTATTGTTGGAATTTTGTGTGGTTTTATTATGAATATATAATCGTTTATTTTGATATATAGGGGATACGCACGATGACATACGTATCGATAATGCATGCATGGCTCTCGTGATTGATACCAACCCTTTCCACTTCAAGCATTGTACGTATATATATATATATATCGTCGCATTTTAAGGATGCGTCTCATGTAGTTCGGTGGACATTTTTTTTTGTATTGGTTAGGTTTTGATTCCATTATTTTTTAATGAAGATTTTTCAATTTTTCCTTTCGATTCGATTTTTATTCGAATTCGGATTTTAATACAGAAATATTTATTTTTCTAAAAAAAACTCATTTTCATTCGATTATTTTTACATCTGATTCGAATGCGATTAATTTAATTTTAAAAATCATATCAAATCAACTTTGGATCATAATCATCCAGTTTTACATATAAAAACTTAGATAATTATTACTTTTACATAATATATCTCCGGTTCCCACTTTTTGTCACAAATGTGGCCATATTATGTTGAGAACAGATCATTTAATTGTGAAATTTTTGGCCCAACAATAAGATTTAATTGAGAAAACTTGATGACTATGAGAAACAAACTCACATGCCTCTCTGCCTTTGATTAGACACTATTTCTCCCAAAGCAGTGTATGTATATATTTATATGCGTGTATATATATATATATATATATATATATATGTGTGTGTGTGTATAATTGTCAGTACGTCTTTTGTCTGTATTTGTCTGAAGTCGACAATGTTGACGCCTCTCGTATCCCTGCATGATCTAATTTGGGCCAATGTATTTATTCGACATAACGTCGATCGGTTACAACACGCATGCCTTTATTTGATTCCTCTTATTTAACATTTTACAAAGTAATTTTAAAACGTCAATGATTGCTATTTTTTTATTAAAAAAATTAAGTGCAAATATAATATTTCTTTATATCATATATAAAATATCTGTATGATCTAATTCAAGTTTCGTTTTATATTTTATTTATATAATTTTATTTCGAATGCAAAAAACACATGATCTAATTCAAGTTTTGGAAACTGTGATCTTAGTTGGATTAGGAGAAACCGAAGTTTGATCTATAAAAGTGTTCGTTGGTTTTGAATTTTTAATAAATACTTATATAAAAAATAGGGGTGGGCAAAAATACCTGGATTTCGAGTATCCGATCCGATCCGCAGGTCGAGTACCCGAAAATTCGGATATCCGAGCGAACGAGACATGAGATCGGGTATTAATATTGAAATACCCGAGTTCTCGAGTTCGTGTTCAGGTAATAGTTGTTATCTCACGGATACCCGAATAATAAAAAATTATGTTTTAAAATTTAGATTTTTTTATTAGATTTTGTGGTATTTTATTTAATATTAATGATTATATAGATATTATTGGATATATTTATGATGTATTTTTAAAAAATAAATTTATTTTAGATATAAATACAATTTAAATTTATTTTGAATTATTTTGAGTATGTATATATAAATATATTTTCAAAAATTGATTGAAAATAGTTACAAATATTCGGGTATCCGATAAAAAAATATGGTACAAAATTATATTAGATATGAAATAATCTTTGCATGATCGCAAATTAATAAATCATCACAAGAAAAAAGTGCATTCAAGGACAAGTTTCCCGTTGGAGACAACATTACCCTATCCATTCAATTTCATAACTTCTTAATTATTGTTCCCTCTTCTCCCGGTTCTTATTGCATATATAATTTTATAATTATTTGCTCTGAAAGGATGTGACATGATCCGACGGATCTATAAATAATGTTTAAAATTACAATAAATTCATATAAAACCAAATGAAAAATCTATTTATTTTTATTTTACAGCAACTTTCGGGATAAATCCAAATACTCTATGATTCATTTTTTGTTTTTTTTTCAATACCAAAAAATAAAAAAGAGAGGTTTATTTTTTGTGGCCTTAGATCTTGCCACACATATTTATGTAGTAAATGAACCCAAGATAAGATAACTAGTTTCATCCGCAGCAGGTACTCTAATAAGGGCACATATTTATGGAGTTTGATAATATTCTAATAATAACAAATAAATAATATATAAGATTATACAATTAATAAAATTAGAGTGTTCTATCCCATGATATATATAGAACCGGTTATCATTTTTATATTAACTATACGTTCTACAGTTAAACAGTTGTATGAATTTTCTGTATGATTCCGGATAAAATATTATTAAACGCGTCGGATAAATAAGAATCGGCTAAATAAACTGTCATTTTATTTAAAATTAATAAAATCGAATGGTTAGTTTTTTTTTTTTGAGCGAGCTCAATCTGTAGTCGGAGTTAAATAAACTCTAACAAGAATACATTTAACGACTGTTACGTGTATATGCGACATAGTAGTCAATAAATATTACAATAAGATCACTAGCTAGTTTCACTTTTTATACAGTCCTCCATATATGCGAATTATGCGATATATTCGTCAATAAATATTACAATAACGACTGTTAAAATGTATATGCGATATATATATTCGTCAATAAACTTCATAAATAATTGAGAAAACTTCACACACACACACACACACACACATATATACACACACACAAATAGGCCAGAAACAACAAGTGATTCATTGATCGAAGAAGCCAGTCGTGTACATGAAAAAAAAATTGGCAAAATAAAAAGAGTAAGAGGACCAAAAGTACAGTTGGGGCTGTCTGAATAAAATCAACGACAAATCTCAGCACAAACGGTGTTCATCCTCGAGCTCGAAGGATGCGACAGAACAAAAGATCCTGATTTCCCGTTGCTCAAGCAAGTTACGTTGAACTGGTTTCCGGTCTGAATTGTCTGCAGAAAAAGATAGAATAGATACGTGTCGTGAACAGACAAGTTAGATATACGTTTTAAGGATTCGATCGAGAAGGAGTCGAGCAGCGATAACTGGGTTTACTTACCGAGCAAGAAACAGGTTCTTGGTTGCCGCTTCACCTTGAAGTGGGTATGCGAGAAAGGTAATGGCACCATGAGCATTGTTTGTTTCCATCCACGTTGTTGAAGAGGGCGACCAAGCCGATGACGAATCTGGAAGATCGAGGAAGAGGGTTTAGGGTTTTGATGTTCTCGAGTTTTCGAATTTAGGGTTTCATCCTGACACGAGGGAATGTATGGGAGTAAATATTATATATACCCGGCCATCAAAAGGACTAGAGAGATGGTCCACAGTACGCATTGATAAATCTTGAATCTGTGTGTGGAGGCAGCCGAAGAAACTCCACCAGGGGCAGGTCTGTGACTTATCCACCCGAAATGGGGACGGATCAGAAGCACGAACCCTAGGAGAAACCCGGTAGCGAGGCCTCCGATGTGGGCAAAGTTATCGACGCCCGGGAGAAAGCCCATCGCTAAGTTGACCGCCACGAGTACCACGACAGTCACAAGGGCAATCGCCTGGACAAAAGCATATATAGTACCGGGAATTATGGAGAGTTTACATAATATATAACGTTAAAGATTCCGATCTTTATGCCACAAAAAAAAGGGTTTGCGAAAGGATTGTTACCTTGTTAGTATAGATAGTCCAATTGATGATGATCTCAGAGAGGATTCCTCCGAGTAAACCAAGCATGGCACCTGATGCTCCGACAGAGACGCTTGATCTGAGGAAAAGAGCCGACAGTATGCTCCCTCCCAACCCGGATATGACGTAAAGCAATCCGATCCGAACTGAAATCAGACAGAAGACAAACAACAAGAGCAATGGTCTTATTACAACACAAACATCGAATCGGTATAGCCAGATCTCGCAAAAGGATTCAAGAAACGAGGCACTTACGGAAACCGAATTCACGCTCCATGCGTATACCGATGATCAATAGGGTTATCATGTTCACTACCAAATGGATAACTCCTCCATGTAACCAGTTGCAAGAAATCAGACGCCATTCTTCTTGATGCTGAACTACTCTTTTCACATCCAAACCACCCATCTTCTGTAACCTGCAGAACATCAAAATCAACCAGAGCCAACCTCAGATTTTGGGGTATATCTTTGTCCATACGATATCACAACCCGTATCGAATATGCAGATGTAATCAGAAAGGAATGTTCAAACTTACGTGAGGGAGGAAGGACCCAGGAGGGGATTCTCTTTGATTGACTGAAACGAAAACCGACCCAAGAAATCGGCGAAGCATTCTCCAGATTTCTTCGGGCAGTTATTGAAGAACATGGTTATCACGAACATAACGACGTTCGCGACCACGAAACAGGGTATGATCCATGGAACCCAGCTCCTGAACTGCTTCACTTCTCTGTACACCACTCGGTTTTGTCCTCCATGCGAAGCCACGTCCATTCCGACAGGGTTTATGTTGTTTTCTACCAGTCGGGAATTGCCCCAAATTGGGGTTGTCTTCAGTTCCGGCACACCCATGGAAGAAGAATCGATATTTGGATCAAGGAGAATTCGATGGATTCAAGGCGATTTCTCGATGAGGTTTAGAGAAATTAGGGTTTTTCTTTTCTGGGTTTTAATCGCTTTGATGAGGTTTTCTCAGAAAGAAGCAAGTTTTTGGAGTGAGGTTGATGAGAAAGTCTCTCTCTCTATATATACAATCCGGTTGACTGCGTCGCACGCACGCACACGCATACATACATACATACATACGTCAATAAATATATACACAAATTTATGTATTGTTTAGAGGAGCAAGTAAATCTTGTTTTTATCATATTGCGTTTGTTACGCTTTCTTGCGTTACACGGATCTTATAAATCTTGATATTTAATCTTAATTTCCCAGACTTTATATAATTTTGGTAAAATTACTTATTTCATATAAAGGAAATCTACCTCTGAAAATGGATTATTATTATTATTTCATATAAAGGAAATCTTGTTTGATCCAATCATTTCTTGACTAAGGTTAAAGATGGAATTAAATCACCTCTTACCCAAAAAAAAAAGGTTAAAGATGGAATTAGATACATTGATTTTCTAAACTGAATTTTCAATATATATATTTATACACACACAGACAGGATCTCCAATTGATTTTTTTAAATCATTAGAGATATAATTTTTTAAAACAGAAAAAATGTTATAATATTTTATTTATAAATAAAATTTTATGATTTAATTATTATATTGATATAGTATATCTCTAAAAAAAAAATCGAGAACTTTATGTGACTAGATCCTATCTCATTCAAAATTGAAATGTGCATAGAATCACATTAGAGACAAAATAAAATGATTTATTTAACAAACATTAAAAGAATACAAAGTGAATAGTTATCATATCCCAAACATATAGTGCCAATGATTGTGATATAATTAAATATAAGAGGAGAAAAAAAAATCAAGCGCGTTTAGTATAATATAAACTAAATAAAATACTTATATAAAAATTGCGAAGACCAACCAATATTATGGCTTGGGGAGTTGCTCGAAACAATATTGATCCCCTCTTAAAATATTATTTTTAAAACTAAATATTCATGATATTTACCATTTATATAGCAAGCATTATAAAAAAAAAATAGTAATGGATGTCGGATGATGATGATGACGACGGACGATAAATGTGGTTATTGGGTAAATAAAAAGGCCCATAAATTTGATAATATAAGCATGGAAAGGAAATGGACCAAATAATGGAAATGTATAAATAATAAAAAGTAGGCCTAAATACATAACTCAATCCGGCCCAGTTGGTTTGTGTGCCAACATGCGCGTGTAATCGAGTTTCTGCCATGGCGCGTGGCAAAACAATGTAAAAAATATAAACATAAATTTTATTTTATAATGAAATTCGAATTAAAATAAATAAATGAAAAATTCAATTAAATATTTTTATATATAGTGTTTTCAAAGCAAACACAGACCCACACCGAATTTAAACTTGAAACCAGTCTCATTTTAGTTTTAATAAATTTGTACTTTTAAAACTATTATTTTGTCTCTTAATTAACTAAGCCAATGTACATATTGTAACAAAAAAAATCATAGTTTATTTTTACAGACAATTTGAAATAGATCAATTGTTTCAAGTTTAAAAAACTTATATATATATATAATATTAAATAAAATTTGTACTCTAATTTTAGTATTTCCATTGGCAGGTTAAAAAATATATCGTGGATTGCTTCGATATCCCCATTTTAAATATCCGTATCTAAAATTTCTTTTATATATATATATATATATTTACTTTTATTTATAATTAATTGTAACATGAAATTTCAATATAAATATTTGTATATCTTCAATAAAAATAAATAAATGACTACATGTTTTTTTAATTACAACTACGTACTTGAGATAACTAAATAAAATATAATAACTTAGTAAAAAAAATAGGCACTTTTAGGCTGTTAGAGGAAATGATTAGTCGACATATAATTAAGTTCCATGATAAGAGCACTTGTTGATATGGCAGTAAATAAAATGGGAGATAGGAAGATAAGTGAAGGAAACGTGTGCACGTCCTTTTATTAAATTACCGCAATTAAATATATTTTCGTTTACCTTTTTGTATTATAATATTTGAATAATCTATTTAGCTTTGAATTAACCAATATATATATATATATATATATATGGTTGTCCCTCATGTCTTTTTGTTATGCCTTTCTTATTTGATTATTATATTAACTATTTTCCCATTGTTAAGATAATAAATGATTTAGTTTATAAGAGGGATCTCTTTAATTCTTATAGTTTCATAAATCGGAATACAATATAATAAATTTTGTACAATTGTATTTTAAAAATATTTATTTAATAACATCTTACAAAATTGAATTGTTCCCTTGTTTTGATTTCTCATAGCAATCGGTTAAAAAATTTGGGTGTCTTGAGCTATTTTCTCTCTTAAAAATTGATTATTATTAGAATATTTTAATTTCAACGTTTTTTTAATTGTCCTATAATTATAACGATAAAAGCACCACCAAATCCAACAACGTTTTTTAATCAACAATAATACAAATGTACCAAGTATCTAATGTTTTATTTAAAACTTAAAGTAACCATTTTTCTAATAAAAAAACTTAAAATAACCATTTTTATTAATGAAAAATAGAATTGTATAACGAAGATTAAGATTCGATTTCAAGTGACCATTCTATTATAGTGAAAGATCAACGATGCAATTGATATTGAATATTAGTCGATTTGTGTTTTGGAATCCGTTTCCGTGATTTCGAATCTTAGTCGATTGATGATTTGATGTCGTAGATTAATTTTTAATAGATGGAAAAATAAAATTTAATTTTTGTCACATTTTTTCATATTTAAAAGTTGTAAACCGTATATTCCAGTGTCGACACGTGTCCTGCAATCATTCGATAGAAAAGCACGTATCCATTTGTCAAATAAGCACGACGACAACTTCGCGTCTTGTTAATTTTTATCAGCTCGGCGATCAAAATCGACGGCTCATATTGCTTTCCTTACCTCGGAAATATTTTTATTTTTAATTTTAAATAAAAATTAAAAAGTAAATACCTTTTGCTCTGATTCTTGGCTCTCTTGTCTCCTCCCTCTCCTCTTCGTCTTCTTCTTCCAGAACTTATCTGTTGGATTCCTGTTCGTTCTGATGGTTAATGGAACGGGATTCAACGGGTTTCCAGGTCCGACCAATCGGACACGGTTCCCAGACCAATCCGTATCGCCTCTACCGAATCAAAGCTTCACTTCTGTGGCCGGACATTTATACGACGGATTCAGTTACACTGTCGCGGATGCGGCGGAGGCTTTGCCGCCGCCGGATTCCGAGTTGACTCTGGAGGAGGACTCTCCGGAGGACTGCGATTTCTCCGACGTTGTGTTGAACTACATCAACCAGATGTTGATGGAAGAGGATATGGAGGACAAAGCTTGTATGCTTCAGGAGTCTCTAGATCTCGAAGCCGCCGAGCGATCTCTGTACGAAGCTATCGGTAAGAAGTACCCTCCTTCTCCCGAGCCTAACTTAGCTTACGCTGAAAGCAACGGCGAAACCCAAGATCACGAACTCTCCGGGAACTTCGCCGGAAATCTCGTCGACGGCGAATGCATTTCCAGAAATGGTTGGACGCAGTCCCTGCGTAGTTTTACCCTTGATTTCCGGAATTCGCAGAGCCGTTCATCGGCTCTTAGTGCCTCTCAATCTTCGTACAGCTCGCCGAACAGTATAGCCACATATGGGTATGGTTTAGATGAACCGTCGAACACTTTGTATCCAAGTAGTGATGCAAATGGTGAGCGTCAATCGGTTTGGCTGTTTAGGAGAGGGATTGAGGAAGCTAGAAAGTTTCTTCCCGGTGAGAATGAGTTGATTGTAGATTTCAGAGGTAACAGTAATGGAGAGATGGCTGTGAAGGAAGAGGCGAAGGATGAGAATGGTAGAGACAGAGGAAGGAAAAACCCGAACCGTGATGAGATCGGTCTCGAAGAAGAGAGAAGTAGCAAACTGCCTGCAGTGTTTCCAGAAACCATTGTAAGATCCGATGTTGCAGATAAGATCTTGGTTCATGTCCCGGGGCAAGATAGCATGAAGGAGTTTAATGCCCTCCGAGATTCTTTGAAGAAGGGCGTGGAGAAGAAGAAGAACACATGTCCTCGGGAAGAGAGGAGAGGAAGAAGATCGAACAGGAGAAGAGGGTCGGGGAGGGGACAGAATGGCAAACCCGAAGTTGTAGATTTGAGAAGCCTTTTGATACATTGTGCACAGGCAGTTGCAGCCGATGACCGGAGGAATGCCAATGAGTTACTGAAACAGATCAGACAGCATTCTACTCCGTTCGGTGACGGAAACCAGAGATTGGGTCACTGTTTCGCGAACGGTCTGGAAGCGCGGCTTGCGGGTACTGGTAGTCAGATTTACAAAGGGCTCATGACAAAATCGAGGTCTGCTTCTGATGTCTTGAAGGCTTACCATCTGTTCCTTGCTTGCTGTCCTTTTAGGAAACTCTCTAACTTCATTTCGAACAAGACTATAAAGGATTCCATGGGGAATTCCCAGCGGCTTCATGTGATTGATTTTGGTATCCTTTATGGTTTCCAATGGCCAACTCTTATTCAGAGGTTATCACTGTACGGATCACCTAAAGTTAGGATCACCGGAATTGAATTCCCTCAGCCCGGATTTCGTCCTGCACAGAGAGTCGAAGAAACAGGCCAACGGTTAGCAGCTTATGCCGAAGAATTCGGGGTGCCATTTGAGTATACTGCAATTGCAAAGAAGTGGGATACCATTCAACTCGAAGAGCTCAAGATTGAGAAGGATGAGTTTCTTGTCATCAATTGTCTATACCGGGCAGAGAACCTGCACGATGAAACAGTCAAAGTAGAGAGTTCTAGAGATGCTGTCCTCAATTTGATACGGAAGATCAATCCCGATCTTTTCATCCATGGCATAGTTAACGGGGCATACAATGCCCCGTTCTTCGTAACACGGTTTCGGGAGGCTCTGTTCCATTTCTCTTCGATCTTTGACATGCTTGAGACGATTGTTCCTCGGGAGGATGAATCTAGGAGGCTTCTCGAGATGGAGGTCTTCGGGAGAGAGGCATTGAACATAATTGCCTGCGAAGGGTGGGAGAGAGTGGAGAGACCGGAGACTTACAAGCAGTGGCAGGTCAGAACTATGAGGTCAGGGTTTGTGCAAGTACCCTTTGATCCAGCTATCATGAAGATGGCTTTGCGTAAAGTTCAGTTACATTATCACAAGGACTTTGTGATCGATGAAGATAGCCGGTGGGTCTTACAAGGTTGGAAAGGAAGAACTGTCATGGCTCTCTCTGCTTGGAAACCAATCTCCAAGGCTCTGTAACTATTCCCGAGAACGTAGATACAGGTAGTGTTTGATTCTCAGTTTCTCATTTTCTAATAGCAAAGTTTTCGGGTTTCTTTTAAATGGTTTTGATCCCTTTCCCATGCAAATACAGGCAATTTTGGAGGTGCAGAAGAGAATGCTCTAAGAATCCACGACCCCGTTTTTGGTACTGACCCTAATCTCATGCATCATATTATCGATGTAACATTGGTTCTAATCTAACTGGGATTAGATGTTTACGGTTTTCGGTCTAGACTCTTCCCAAAGTTTGCTCATTTAGCTAGGGAGATGAATCGAGAGCTGTACATTGCTTAGCAACGTTAACTTGTTTAGATATTGTAATACCCTGTTAGAAGATACTTGCCAAAACAATGGCCTAAAAAGGAGGTTTCTCATTTTCCAATCCAACACTTGGACCAAAGCTGTACTTTGAGTAGAAAATGTTTATTCCTAGATATTTTTTTTTTTTGCTTTCTATTTCCAGAATACTCTTCTGCTTGGAATTAGAACTCTTGTTTGTGGTCCATTAACGTAATTATCAGTAGTTTTGGTAATCTCTAAGCTTCTACTGTTGCTTCCCCATGCATTAGATTCAATGGGCAAACAAACCCCTTGGAGAACACTGAGAATCCGTTAAGACACATGGGCAGTTCTAGTCTTAAGATTCTGTCTGGCATAGTGAAGAAAAAGGGCAAATAGAAGATCAGAATCGGTTAGTTACTTGGGCGAAAAGAAAAGCGCCTCGAAACCTTTTTCCAGGTGCCTGTTCCCCTCGGGTGTAGTCGAGGCCGGGTCTAATGCTCTGTATATTGCCTCATCAAACTGCAAGGCCTGCTCTGAAACGACAGGACCAGGATTAAGACCCGAGTGATTAGGGTTTGTTCCTCCCATTGATCCGACCAGGACAGGTTCAAACACAAGGAGACGATCTGATCTTCCCATCTCGGACAAGCATTACAGAGCAACCGAGATTCCAGAACATCTGAAACAGCATTGTTGATACCAAAATATCGCCGACTCTCAAATAGCACAATGTCGCTGCTCGGCCAACACAACCGACATTCTACGAAGCTTTCCGACACACTTTCTCTCTGACCGGAACAAGATGCATCGCATGATCCGAAACCGAAGAGCCAAAATGAGGAGAATAAACGATGACGACAGAGATGGGCAACAACGCACTGACACTACTAACGACGAGGCCACAATCCCGGATTTGTAGCCGGCAACCGGAGCGTCTCCATTTACATTCATCGAATTCACCGGCGGGTACTCACACCGCCGGTGAAATTTTGACGCCGGTGGGTCCAAGAGATTCGACCGTTGACCGTGACCGTCGCCGAAATCCACTCTTGCCCTTGGTTCGTTGTTTAGTCAAAACTAACCTTATTACGTCTTCTTTTTGCCACGTCACCTTATCTTCCTGAACTTTCTTGCGCATTGCGCTTACCCCCCCCGCCGGTGAAATTTTGACGCCGGTGGGTCCAAGAGATTCGACCGTTGCCCGTGACCGTCGCCGAAATCCACTCTTGCCCTTGGTTCGTTGTTTAGTCAAAACTAACCTTATTACGTCTTCTTTTTGCCACGTCACCTTATCTTCCTGAACTTTCTTGCGCATTGTATATTCTCTCCGTAACCCGTTTATATTATAATGGGCTTTATATGGGCCGGGCCTATTTTCTTCTTACGCCTGTTATCGTTATAATGGACTTTATATGGGCCGAGCCTAATTCCCTTTAAAGAGGAGCCGTTTCATTCCTTTAGTCGATGATCTCGTCATATTGCACGGATAAATTTCCATGAGAAAACAAACAAGAAGGGTTTCAGATTCACAATTAAGGGTGTGTTTTTTCACAAGAATCAAAATGGTACATAACCGGTAGAGATTTATATACATAACCGGAATCCGGTATACCTTTCTCCCTTCACAGCATCAACATGGAGAAGTATTGCTCGAATTCTTGATCGATTGTTGGCTTCCTTGTGTTCTGCCTTGAAGAATCTGCACACAACAACACAGAAAACCGGTTTAAGATCGCATAATTTTTCCTCGGTAGAGCTCGGTTCTCATATCGGTTTAAACACAAAACCGGTTCACCTTGGTTAACAGTCCATCTCCCGGAAGAAAGAACATAAGTAGCATTGTAATCCTTCACGTCTTCATCAGGATATAGAAAATCAACAATGTCTTTCTCAATGTATCCCTCTATAGGGTTTTGGAGCATTGATTCTCCGAGGGATGAACTCGATGACTCGGATTTTATCTCGTTTGAACATTCCATGGAACCCGAATTCACGGATAACGTGGAGTAATCCGAGCCTTCTGCAGTAGCGAAGCTGTTGCTGTCTTTGACAGATTCAACCTCAGGACTCGGATCTGAGCTGTTCTTGTTCTTGTTCTCGTCAAAACAAACATGTTTTGGCAACGGTAATAACTCCAACTGCTCTGTCTGAAACTTCCTCTTCCTGCTCAGGTTAACAGCTTCCATGTTCAAGACATTGTTACTGATGCTGCACCTGCAGAAAACGGCAATCGAAGAAGATAAATTTCGGTAACACAAACGCAAGAAAATGCATGACAGACACAGGTTTGATCTCAAACACCCAGTTTGTGTATTTGGATAATGTATTTAAGAGGTTGAACAGAAATCTCATCTCATCTATTACAGGATACAGCTTAGATGGGGAGGTAGATACGCATTTTGATTCCAGATTCTGTCTGTTGCAACTGTGAATCCTGTCACTAAATCACACACTATGTGCCGAGATTGACCTAAAATATATACAGATGTACCAGGATCTATATGAAAGATCGGGATTGGATCTTAGAACAAATCTAGTACTGGCGACAAATCCAGGGAACTAGACACAGAGCATGTAATCCAAGAGCTGAGTGAAGCATAGTTTTCTTCAGGAGATAACGATTTCACAATCGAAACAACACCAAGAAACTGAACAGAACAACAGCAAGAGGTAATAGATAAATCAATGGAAAAAAAAGGGCCGTAAATAAGAAAAAAGACAAGAACCCAGAAATGGAAACCTGGTAATCTGAGATGGGTTCTGGTTATCCACTTCACAATCGGACATAGATCTTCCGAGAGTTGGAAGATTTACACAGATTTTTTCCTTCTTCCCTTGAAACCGAGAAATAGAAAATAAAAGCGGCTCCCCTTTTTCAGAAGAGTCAGTATATCCGGAAAAAACTATATAATAATAAGATAATGATTACAAATTTACAACGCTGAGGAATACGATGATCGCCGTGTTGTCCATACGCGCTCGATTAAGCGCGTGAAACTTACAGTTAAATGGGATTCGGCGCGTGAATGGTCATATATTCATGGGCCTTTGCGAAATTATGGGCTTTTGGATATATATATATATATATATATATATATATATATTAAGTAAACCTAAATAGATTTTTATTTTATATAAAAAAACTGCCATATATATTCATTTATATATTTGGGTCCAAATAGGTAAACCACTAAAGCCCGTTAGTTGTTTGGGCATTTGGGCTGGGCTTTGTCACAAAACATTTTCTTTTCCAGATTTCAGTTCTTTCATGGGGTTTTGAGAATCATTGCGCCAGGGAATTTTTCTTGTGGCTAGACGAAATCGTGCCTCCGTCGCCGGACCATCGTCCTCGCCGTTCCTTGTAGGTGTCCTCTCTCTCCTTTGTCAGCTCTCTCTCGATTGTTTTTCTTTAGTGTTTCTGGTAATGTCTCTTTCTCTGCTTGTGATGTTGTTCTCTTCGAGTTGTGGGTGACTCTGATTTTGCTTTCCGGCTGTTATCGGGGATTGATTTGATGAACCCATTTCGTTTCTCTGGCATAAAAAGTGTTTTGGCATATCTGGGTTTGCTACTCTGCTGATGTTTGATGAATAGTTTTCACAGTAATAGTAATGGAAATTGTCAGATTGTTTGATCACGAAATCGTGCCTCCGTCGAGTACAGGGTCTTGTCCGAATCTCTTGTTTTCGTCAGCGAGAGTGAGCTTTTATCCATTGGAGCTTGGAATTGCTCGTGCCATCTTGAGAACTGGAGTTGTTCTCTGGATTTCACTTGGAAGGGTCGTGAATGATGATCTAGTTTTCTTTGTATGCTCTGTTTGATTTTTCTAGTCAAGATTACATAATCAGCGTCCTTCATTCATTCTGCAGAAGTCGAAGTCACAACAATGGAGTACGTCAACCCTGAAGGTCTTCGCTTAGATGGTCGTCGCTTCAACGAAGTATGCTGATGCTCTCTCTTCCTGTAGTTTGTCATCTGTTTGTTTTAGTCCTTTGATCTGTTTCCTGTTTCCTTCATGTGTTGATGTGTCTGTTCTTGATGCTTATGAATCTCAGATGAGGCAAATCCGAGCTGAAATAGGTGTAGTCTCTAAGGCCGATGGGTAAACCCAAATGCTCCTCCTATCTCGTCATCTCCTTATCCTTAGCATCGTATCCATCTGAAAACTCAAACTTGTGTCTTGCTTTCTTTGTTCAGTTCTGCTGTTTTCGAGATGGGTAATACAAAAGTTATTGCAGCAGTTTATGGTCCAAGAGAGGTATGATGAATTCACTCACCTTTCATACCCAAATGGAGAGTTGGTGCTTACTGTACTTTGTGGTCAAACCAGTTTACTGATCTGTCTTTGTGCTGATATGCATACATGTGTTCTCATCTTTCCTTGTCCAGATTCAGAATAAGATCCAACAAATCAATGATCATGCCCTGGTATGCGTGTATTTGAACTTTGGTATCGTTCATGGGATATAGTTTATAATCTGACATACCTGGTTTGCTCTAATTCTGTATGTGGTAGGTGCGGTGCGAGTACAGCATGGCTCACTTCAGTACTGGTGATCGTAGAAGACAGAAAGGCGACAGGTTACGTTTTCTGTATCGAAGCACTTCATTCATCCTTTTTAAAATTCATGCCATTGTTGAGAGTTATCGGGATTTCCAGGTTTAGACAGTATGAAAAATGAAGTATTTGTCTGAAAAATAAAAATTTGTCATATGCTCAGGCGTTCAACGGAGCTGTCACTTGTCATCCGTCAAACAATGGAAGCCTGCATCTTGACACACTTAATGCCTCATTCTCAGGTTTCGTTAAAATGCTCGAGAAAAACTATACCGAAAACTGGAATATATCATCTTCTCTTTCTTGCTTCTCTGATGATGGATCGCTTCTTTCTGCAGATTGACATTTTCGTTCAGGTTCTACAGGCTGATGGAGGTAATCTACTGTTTTTTTATCCCGCTCTTGTCGAGCTTCAAACCTGTTGTTACATCCATCGGCTGAGATCTCTTCATTATCCAGAAAAAAAAAACGCATCACGATTCTTTTTCACGTGACATTATTACCTTCAGGAACAAGATCTGCCTGTATAAATGCTGCAAGTCTAGCTCTTGCAGACGCCGGGATTCCAATGCGTGATATCGTTGCCTCCTGCAGTGCCGGATTCTTGAACAGCACTCCCCTTCTCGGTAAATTTTCCTCCGAATCCACCGTACATAGAAAATGGGTCTTCTTCCCCTTCCCCTTCAAAAAGTTTCGAACTTTGCTATCCTCGTTATTCTGTTGTGTCGTCATATACAGATTTGAACTATGTCGAAGACAGTGCCGGAGGAGCTGACGTAACTGTCGGGCTTCTGCCCAAGCTAGACAGAGTGACGCTTCTGCAGGTTCCATATCCGAAAACTTCTCTACCCTTCAAAATTTATCGGTGATCTATAACTTGAATTTGCTGGTTTATATGAAATCTTCAACCTTTGGTATGATAGATGGATGCCAAGTTACCGATGGATACATTTGAAACCGTCTTTGCGCTAGCGAATGAGGGCTGTAAGGCCATCGCTGAAAGAATTCGGGAGGTATGGAAAGGCATACATATATATGTATATATATATATAACAGCATTGTGCTGATTTTTTTTTTCTTTTGAAGGTGCTACAAGAAAACACTAAGCAACTGGAGTATCGTCGGGGTTCATAACTCGACAAGCTGGCAAATCCAGCTCTAAGAAAAAACGGTCGATGTAACCACAAAACACCAAAGCTGTCTGAACCATAACTGAGATTTACTCGGAAATGTACGCAGGCTTTTATGTTGGTGAGCCCACAAATGGGTCCCACAGTTTGAGTGGGCCCATTTAGTCGAATGGACCCGTAGTTTGAGTAGGCCCTCATTTAGTCTAATTTTCTACGTAATTTGAGGAAGCCCATTTAATCGGATGGTCCTATAGTTTCAGTAACCCATTTATACAAATGGGTCCCACAATTTGAGTAGGCCCATTTAGTCGAATGGGCTCATAATTTGAGGAAGCCCATTTAGTTGGATGGTGCTGCAATTTGAATTAGGCATGCTTCGTTGAATAATCCACAATTTGAGTAGGTCTATTCAGTTGGTGTAATGGGCTCCGTAATGTGAGTAGGCCCATTTAAGCCAATTGGTCCAATAATTTCAGTAACCCATTTATACAAATGGGATCCATAATTTGCGTAGGCCCATTTAGTTGTATGGGCCCACAAGTATCGAGGCTTTCAACATATATAATTTTTTTTTTGGGTATGAACATATATAATTTATTTTGTTTATGCATTACTTTGTGTGTTCTATTGATGACATAAAAATGCAATTTCAAATTGACAAGATGTGTCACTTTTGATCCTTACAAAGGACAGGGTTCAAAGTCAAAAACATTGTTGATAATTTTATTTAGTGTTATGATTTGAGTTTATTTTTTTATATGATATTTTGATAAAAAAAAAATTATAATATCACATAATTAGAAATTTTTTAGATTTATCAATAATTATTTTAATATTTTTATAATAAAATTACTTTTTAATTAAATATAAATTAAATCGATAAAATTTATATTTTTAAATATTTTTATATAATTTTTTATAAATTATATAAAATATTTGTTCCAAACGGATGATATAAAATTTAATTACAATTAATTTTAAAAAATTATCTTGTAATCAATATCTTTTTGGTAATTTACAACAAAACGTAAATCGGAATCAACCGTCCATAATCACTACCAAATTTTTTAAAAACGTCGCAACCGCAACCGGAGCTGCACAACCAGTCGCAACCGTCTGATTTTTTAGTTCTGACAAAATTCGAACCCAAACCCGAAACATTCGGGCCGACTACGGGGCTGGGATGATATGGGCCGGGCCGGGCCGGGCTCGATTGACACCGCTATCTGAGATAACGTATCGGACCGTTGAAACGCGTTGTTTGGGTCCTCTGGGTTTCTTCCAGAAGCTTGGAGCGCGGCAACCAGCACTTTCATGGCGGAAGAGAAACTTAAATCGAAAACACCACTTAGTTTTCGCTTCCTCACTCTCTCGTCTCTGGGCTTAGTTCCTGTGTTTGTTTGTGTTCGGAGACATGGATGACCGACAGGAGGAGCTTAGTCCGCGGCAGGAGCAATCTCCGTCGCTCGACGATTGCCTGAAGCTGTTGAAGGGCGAGAGGGACGAACAGAGACTTGCTGGTCTGCTTCTGGTCACCAAGTTCTGCCGGAACGATGATATCGTCTCTCTCAGGAAGGTGTACGACGCCGTCGGTGCTCGGTTTCTCGATCGACTTCTTCGCACTGGTAAGATTCAAATCTCCCGGCTTTGTGTTTGGATCCCAGGAAATCCAAAGGAAAATGATTGGAGAATTTGGAAGAAACCCCTTTTTGTCACAGGCCCTTTCGATTCGAGTAGCAGAGTGATACTCGGATTATACAGAAATATTAGGTTTTCTCTTCGCTTGCTGTATCCGGTTTTATTTTTTTATTGGGTTTAACTTTTATTTTTGTGTGATTAGGTCTCGGTAAAGGATCTGGAAGCGATGGAAATGATAATCGTGATGCGTATCTGCAGCTATCTGTCACTGTTCTTGCTGCATTTTGTCGTGTTCCTGAGATAGCTTCTTCAGAAGAGATGGTCTCAAGACTTCCCTTGATTCTGGAAATAATGTCGAAAGGGTAATTAGATTGCTTGAAGTTTTCATCTTTATGACTTATTGTCTGAAGCTTTGTGATCTTTTTACCCTTTAGTGTTTATAGAAATTTGTAATTTTGTATCCCTGATCAAACCCACCAATGCCATTGATTGAATTTAGACCAGGTTTACCTGTAATTGAAGAATGCTATGAAATTTTGTATTTGGTCTCCACTTCTCGTGAAGATGGTGTTTTGACACTGATCAACTCAGGGGGCTTGAGAGTGATAGCTCCCCAAATGTCCAATCTGCATGATGGTAATGTCTACTCCTTTGCTTTGCATAGCTTAGCCTTAGTGCAAGATCACTGTCCTTTGTGTTCAAGAAAAGATGGAAGTGGGTTATATATAAAATGGACTGGAGAATCATGATTCGGTGAGAACTCATTGTGTGGTATTTATTCTTTTCAGGCTCACATGCCATGGAACTTGCTATCAAGATTCTGCAGTTACTGGTCAGTAAGCTTTCTGGTGAGAGCATGAATGTTGAACGTCTATTACAACTGTCTTTGGTGGTGAGTCTCTTGAGTTCGTGTTTTATTGGTATTCTGCTTTAGTTACCGTTTCCTAAGCTCCAGAACTCAAGAGAGGATCCGATATGCTGTCTCTTTATTTTAGGTGGCTGCAGTTTCTCGGCAGTTTGCAGTGTTGCATAATGCGTTGAAGTTTGAAGCGCTCCATCTACTGTCTGCAATTTTGTGTTCAGACTATTCTGTACGTTTTCATTCTTCAAATTTTCTTCTGTGGATACGTAGTTATAAATGTATTAATGTTCTTGACTACAAGACAGATACTTGCATGCTGATAATATGATTTTTTTTGGTCACGGGTTGAATTGTGATATCCTCATTGTCCTTCTGTTCATACAAGTGCTTACTCTCTCTCTCTCTCTCTTTCTCTCTCTGTTATGGTATTCTGTAATGATGTTTCTCATGATATTTCTGTAAATGTAGGCACTTCTTCATGAACCTCTTCGCTCTATGCCAGAGACCAATTGGACCGACTATATGCGTGCTGGTGTTGTGGCAATCCTGCAGAACCGAGTTGGTGAGTTAATAGTTAACTTGATCTACTTGTTTTTGGATCTTTTTAGCTTGTGGAAGGCACAAACTATTCAATGATTTCTACTTGCGTAGAATTTGAATTTTCTGTTGTTATATGTTATTACTGATTTTTTTTATGCAATTAAAGAATTTAAGATACCTAACGAACCTCTGGTATTTGTTTGAATGTTTAGCACCTGCTGAAAAGCTTCATGCTCTGATTCTGGCTGAGAATATGATGACAATAATGGACGAAAAATGGCTGATCGGTCGGGTGAAATTACATAACGTTGAGGAACATCTTCCAGATGACAGGTAAAACAGTGCATGTTCTTGTTTCGTCACGGGTCATCTAACTCGTGGTTTCGTTAGCTGAGGTTTGGAATTCATTTATTCATTCAGGTGTCTTCTGCTTGTGTTAGAGTCATCGAGGGTCGAAATTGCCGTGTTGTTGAATGAACTCGCCTACTCGAAATACGAAGCCCCTAAAAATACTTCAACCGCTGAAAACGTTCTCTTAAAGCAGCGGCATCTGGCCATCTCGTTTTCTCTGGTAGAAAAGATCATCAAGTTCATATCAAGTGCTTGTGAGAATGAAGGTAAGATATTTTCTTGATTTTTTTTTTGTTTGCCCTATGCAAGTTTCCAATAGAAACAACATTTTTTTTTTCAGACACACATCATTAACGAACCTTGTGTTTCATTTTGTTGTCTTTAAGAAAATATTTTTTCTGATTTCCTTGCAATTGTTAGTCTGTCATATCTCAAATATCTGACTACTGCTCTGATATTCAACAAGATTTTTATTTTTGGTAATAATTGGCACTCGGCAGGTATCCTAACTGATGAAACCATCTTCCCGAAGGTGATTAAGTCGCTCAATGAGACAGTTGGTGTGGTTCTTGAGTATTTGAAAGATGCAAAGGTTCGTATCTGACGACCATCAAATTCTTCATTGCTTCTTTTTTGCTTATTGAAAATGTTTTTCATGTTGGTCGGCTTCGCACAGGAACGTGGGCAGAAGAAGGGAAACGATCTTATTGCTTCTGTACGGCTTGTTGGAAGGTACATATATTTATATTTATCGATTATTCTTCTCAATTCCTTGTTTTTTTTTTCTTTCTGAAATGATCAGCATGTCTTGAATGTTAATAAAATCACTTTTCACTGCTTTTCCGGAGATTTGATTTTACTAAAAACACGGCCTGGAAATAGACATTGAATCTTTTCCTCGTTGGAATTTTCCCGAACTCTGTTTTTACGGCAGCTACCTTGCTGAAACACCGATTGCGTGCAAAGAGCAGGTCCAAGATCTTTTGCTTTATATGCTTTCAGTGGAAGGAGAAGATGAATCAAGGTTTGGCAATTGCTCTCTACTGAAGGTTTTTACCATTTTCTCGTTGATGGTTTTATCGTACCTTTAAGGATGGCTCGGTTTGATTTATTTATTTTTTGAAGCAGCCCGTTTATGTCTACATGCTTCTTGCTCCCGATGCTTTGCCAAATCACAATGAAAACAGAGGGATGCAAAGTCTTGGCTGCTTCAGGAGGTTATAAAGCTGTAAGTTACTGGAAGTTTTTCTTTCTTAAACCTTGAGTGTTAGTATAATTATGCTGAACAAATTTGACTTAATGTTTTGTATCTTTCTTTTCATCGTATTTTTTTACGATTCTGAGCCTGATGATGATGTTGATTGTGGCTAATTTTGATAAACACAGGTCGTGGAGTGTCTGATAAAATTAATCCAGCCCGGTGATCAAGACGTCGATGATAATGGCTGCATATTCTTGGCTTGTGATACAGTCATGAATCTTCTTTTGAAGGTATCATCCTCTGCTTCCTAAGATAAGGACTTTATCAGATCTTATTGAAACCCTTTTTTTTTTCAAACGATAAGTAAAAAAACCTGTAAATTCTTGTCACAGGGAGAAGAAATACGTTTTTCGCCCGATGAATGTACATTTTCCAGGCTATTGAAAGCCTTGGCGTATTGGGCAGGTGAGGCATTAGTGTTCACTTTTTCGGTTAAACGCTTTCTTCCGGTCCCGAGTTATGGTCTTATAACATGATTATCGATGCTGCTTGCTGCCGAGTTTATCATTTTTTTTCAGATCATAGTAACGATCCGTCGGTGGTTATAATGGCTGCAAGCATCTGTTCTCTGATATTTGATTTCACATCTGAAGATGCTTTACTCAAGCAACAAAACTTCGACAGCAGCTCCTTGGATATTATTGCTCGGATTCTTGCAAGGAGTTTGTCCTCATGGAGACAGGTACGATCTCTGTTTTTGTCCCCTTTTTTTTCCCTTACAGGATTGCTTGCTTTGCTTGTTAACATGGCGATGGCGAAACCGAATCATTTTATTGCAGGATGTGTCTGAGAATGTTAAAGCAGAAACAGATCTTCTTGAAATTATTACAGCAGGTACCCACCCTCTCTTTTTTCTAAGCATAATATCATGTTCTTTGCGGTGCTTTCATTTTCATTTTTTGATGTATGATTACTATGGAACAGGGTATTCCCGGTGGGCGGATCGGTTCCCCGCCGTAAAAAGAACGGTGGAACGATGATGAATTCCGAAAAATGTCGAAACCCGTAAAACGGTTATATGTAAGCTTTGCTTATCATTTTTTTTTGGTTAAAGGTTGTCTAGCATTTTTACACTGTCTGATCATGTAATGTTTACAAAAGACATAATCTTAATGGGCAGTCCTATAACAATCGCATTTTAGCTAAATCAGGCGATTATAAAACCGAAGGGGGAAACATACCATTGATTGTGAGTGTTTCCGACAACAGATGCAAGTTTCTGCATTTCCTTCGTTTGTTATTACAGAAGATACAAACCCTGAAAAAGTTTAAACCCGGGTTTCAACCAGGAAATGTTAAAAAGAAAACTGAATGAAGATTTTCCGATCCATCTCTTTGCCATATACCTTTCAAGCGTCCAACTTGGCCACCGCAGAAGCATAACTGACGCTGCTGTCTCGCATTGTCTTGCACTGGCTCGACTGCTCGTACCTCAGGAACTTGATCTTGATCTTGTTTGAGCAATTCTTTAGCATCTGAAAGAAAACAGATAAGAAAGAAATGTCTCTACACGGTGAATGTCTAGCCTAGAGAAAAGCTCGAAGCCGTGATCATCCACAGAAGAAGAGAGATCTCAGAAGAACATTCAGCGGATTTCGGAGAATTTCATCAAGATGCAGTGCAAAAAAAGCAAATGGGCTCAAGCATACTTACGTGGAGAAAAACACTGATGGGATGGCACCCGCAAATTGTGTTGTCGTATTCCTGAAGATACGTCTTGAAGGCATCCGGGTCTCCAGTCTCTATTATATCCATTCCCATCTTGTCTAGTGCCTCGATAGATTTGTGTATGGGGCCATGTTTCTGGTCATAGTGCATGTAGTTGAACCTACACGTGAACACACTTATACCATTACCATCATTGCCGGAGACAGAAGACTTCCTACGACTTGGTTTAAGTTGCTGTGGAAGAGAACAGACGCTCAGCAAACAGATCTAAGGCAACCGTTTGGATACCCTTTTCCATAAAGTCCCGAGAAAGAGTCTCAAACAAATAGACGTCATTCGGGTTTTCATGCTCTTTCTCAAATGCCCTTTTCGTAAATTTTTCAGTTTCAAAGATTCAAGTCCCATGTGGATATTTGATGTTTCAGCAGCACAGTTCAGAAAAGCACCTTGAACCCCAGTGGCAAAAGTCCGATGAAACTGAGAAAAAATTCTTGGGATCATCCACGTATTTGGCTAACAACTTCCCATACATGGCTTCGTATTCTTCACTCACTGCACCGACCAAGATTGGTACGACTTTCACTTCGTGCCTGATCGGTACTAGAATGAGTTAGTCTTTTGTGCAAACTCTGGCACAACAACATTTGAATATTTTAACTAGTTAGAAAAACCTTAACCTAACTACTAAGTAATATACCCTTCAAATACTTTAGCTAGATATGGAAGGTGCATTTCCATACTATGCTCAGCCTCATCAACGTGGAGATCCATCATTTCAAATTTCCTAGTAGCTCTTATTTCCTTAATGACTGGTAAATGGAGAAAAAACAAAACAGAAAACAGGTCAAATGACAATCAAGGAGCAACTCATCAGCTTTTAATAGTCACTAGCTCGTATACCTTCCAAATCAACCGGTAGATCTCCTATGGGGGTCTTGTAAACTGTAGCAGTCGAAAGGGCACATTTTGGAGTGTAATAGTGGTGAGATGGACCAAGAAGGAATATTCGGGAACTGAAATGAGACTCGAAAAACACAGCGTTAGTCAGAAAGCGAAGCACATATACGGATCAAGAAGCAAAGGTCGAGAAGGTTGGAAGCAGATGGGAAAATAATTAAGCTTAAGCTTACATATTAGTCGGGTCTATGTTTGCAAAAGCATATGCAGCTGCTCGACCAGAATATGAATAACCAGCATGCCTACATTCCAAGAATTGCCAAAAAAATATGAAAGTTAAAAAGCCAATTGCAACAATTTTGTAATTGTAGAGAGAAAATATAGAGAGACAAACAACTTACGGAGCAATCACGCCTCGAACATCAGGAGATTTAGTCAGGTTAGTTTCTTTAAGCCACTTGTCAATGTCTTCTGCCAACTTCGTAGCTGATAAAGAATTAGAAACATCATAAGATTCGCCCCAGGAAACCTCCTAGTAGGATCTTATTCTGTAAGTTAAACCACAAAAGCAGAGGAAAAAACAAGATGGTAATGCCGCATTCTCTGATAAGGATCACATAATATCCCATTGAAAACAACACTTGTATTTCATCTCACAATCGTGATCCAAGCTGGTGCTAAATTTCTATGCTTAAAGCTCATGCCCACAATCTTTCCATGAGACAATTACCAATGAAGCTGACTATTTTTTTCCGAGAAAGTCATATTATTTCCTTCTCAGATACGAGATTCAGAGAAAAAATAGCCATTTACAAAATGGGTTCAGTAGAACCATGAATCCAAATTTTGATTTCAGACAAATCAACGAAAAGCATCAGCTACTTTTTCTTCTTAGCTCATTCTGCTTCTTGGGTCATTCTCAAGCAAAAACGCAACACGGCATAAGAAGAAGAATTCTAAAACCAAACAATCTAAACCCTAACAAAGAACAAAACATCGCAAAAAGGGAGGAAAAAAAAGAGAGTCCAACTTACGATTATCAGTGTACCAAGAGCCCGCATGCGATGCTTTTCTCACTTTCTCCATCTTGCGAAGGGAAATGAAAGATCGAGATCGCCAACAAAAAACCCTAATTTTTGGGTGAGTTTCAGTCTCAGAGGCCCGCTTTGGTCTTTGATCGTGAGAGAAGGACTGAGAAGATTCTCCTCATGTTTGCTTTCCTTGTTTCTTTGTTCTACAATTCTTCAGAAAGAAGCTTTGGGATAGAAATGAGTGTTGTTTTGCCTTCTCTATCGTCGAAGACGTGCTGTTTAAGAATTATTAAGCGACGAGACGTCTCTTACTAGCGGAGATGAACGTCGTG